TTTTTTAATTTTATTTAAAGTAAAAAAACCAAAACAGTAAAAGGGTACAATTAATACAGAATTTCAAAAAAATAAACAGTAAGAAGTCACTAGTCAGGGGCTGGGAATATAGCTCAGCGGCATCGCACCTGCCTTGCAAGTAGGCAGTCGTGAGTTCGATCCCCGGTACTGATAAAAAGGAAAAAGACAAAAAAAAAAAAAAAGAAGACGTCACTAGTCAATAGATTATATATTGTTATCTTAGAAATAGGTGTTTAAGTTACAAAATTAAAGCATACAAAGTGGACATTCAAACAGTGAGACTGCAAACAGTTGTGTTCAATGATCCAACAAAAACTTAGTAATACGGTCTTCTATCTTACACACCTAAACATACTTGCAGTTGTATCCTTTAGAGCACTTTCTTCATACAGATTATTTTTATGAGATCCAGGCCTTTGGCTGGATTTTCCAAGTCTGTTGGGACAGATTTTCTGCACTTTCTTTGTAGTTGTTCTCCTTGCAACCCCTGACTACAACACATTGTTATTATCAACTTTACTTTGAAAATGGTTCTTTGCTCTTTATCAGTATTTGTGTTTTATTTTGTTTTGTCTCAAGATGATATCTCTCCCAAACTAGAGGCTGACCTCAAATTTATGGGCTTACATGATCCTCCTGCCTCAGCCTCAAAGAGCTGGGAATACAGGCATATACCGACATGCCTGGCAACCTTCTTTTTAAAAAGAAACTTTAACATTTATGAATTACTTGATAATGAGACGGGCAAAAAACCCAGTTAAAATGTAAAATTGAAACAACACCTAAAGTGGCAGAAAAACAAGTGTTTGCAGCTCATTAATTATCAGCCTGAATGGTAAATTAGGCTTATCTTGTTGATCAACCTTATATAAATTACTTGAGATTTTCTATCATGATGCAAAAGTAGACTAACAATTTTGCTGAAATGCTATTTAATAATCTCACAAAATGCTGAAGACTCAAGCATTCTTCTTAGAATGCTATTTGTCCATTCTGTTAGGAGAGTCTAGCAGTCAGGGACAGAAGGAGCTTCCACTCCCAGAACTGAGCCATAGTTGCAATCTCTGTCAACAAAGATGGCCCAGTTTGGAAGGGCACCAGCACAGGTGGAAAGGCAGGAATCCTGTCACATGAAGCCTCCTTTCTGGGCCTTTTTGTAGAACTGCTTGAAATAGATTACTTTTTCTTCTTAAGTGACGTGTTTTCTGGTGACACATGTCTCAGAAGAGTTCCTGGTGTCTCTGGTCCCAGTTATAAAGTTCTGAGATTCTCCACTGGGGCCCCATCCTGTCATCATCCTCACTGTGAGCCTAAGCACCAAATGAGCGCAGTACTTTAGAAGGCCTCTCTAAAGGCGAAAAAGGCACACTTGTTTTTGCTTTGCTGATACTTTGAGGCTTTTAGTTTTCAGTTCTGGTTGCAAAGATTTCTTTGAGAAGAGTGTATTTCCAGTTGCTGTCCTTGGATTTTATGGGGGAAAAATGTTTGAGAGCATTAAGGTGATCACAGCTGTGGAAGAAGCCTGGCTGTGGCCATTTGAGGACAGAGATGAATGAAAACAGAATAGGTGGCTTATGGTGAGTGATCCTGGACTGCATGTACAACAGAAACAAGGCAGGGCCTTAGGTGTTTTCATAGCTGTGAGTACTGTGAGAGAATACCTAGAAATCTGCCAGCTCACTAGGCAGACTGTGTTCAAAATTAGTTACTCTGCAACCGGTCTCTGTGAGTCTGAGCTGTTTACTGTGGTGCCTGCTGTATGGAGTGACCAGACAGTAACAGTGTGACTGCTTTCACCATGCTCCACCCAGACAGCTGACCCTTTAGGAAGTTGTGCGGACCACTTTCCCATGGTGAAAAAGGGGGCAGCAGAGACTAAAGGTGTTAATTCGGCTTGATGCTCACCCATCTAAACAGACTCTTTTCATCTGCCAGGTTGCTGCTCAGGGGACCTATGTATGTGTAAATCTTTTATAAGAAGGAGAATAATGACAGTAATGATTTAGAAAGTATGATATTCATCCACAGTAGTGTACTACTTTGCTGTGAGGAAGGATAAAGGAGTCATTTGTAGGCAAATGAATAAGATAGGAAGATAGATCTTTCACAAAAGGGAACAGGGACCAAGAGATGAAGGCAGGGAAAGAAAAGGGATAAAAAAAGATTATGATGCATTATGTACATACTAATAAAAAGAAAGAAATCACCACAGGGCCACTGTGTGATCCTCCCCATGTTTCTGAAATGCTCCAATTGTTGGTGAGTCAGCTCATAATGCCTGGCAACAGGACGTGGCCCAGGCTGCGCTGGGATGTTTATTCACTGTATTTGCAAGGAAAATGGAGTCAAAGAACTTGATATAATTCATAGCTGAAAGATACTTGCTTTGAACATTAATTTTCCCTATTTTAAGATTAAAATCTCTACTGTATGAGCCTAGAAGAGCCCAGGTTCCGTCTGTAGGGCCATAAGTCATGACCAAGAATAACTTTGCGGGGCTGGGGATTTAGCTCAGCGGCACAAGCACCTGCCTTGCAAGCAGGCAGTCATGAGTTCGATCCCTGGTAATGATAAAAACGAAAAAGACAGGAAAAAAAAAAAAAGAATAACTTTGCTTGGTCTATTAAATAAAGGACTGTCATAATATGCCTAACATAATCCTAGGTCTGATTTAGAAATGCTAGTAAGGAGTGTTTTACTAAGGAAATTAAATGCAATTCATAGTGCCATATAAAAATATTAATTACCCCTATTCATATCAATCAGTCGTCAGCAAGAACTCAAGTACCTGGTAAGTTTACTGACCTAGGCTAGAAAATTCTCAGGGAATGCAGAAGGAACATTTGTTTCCTAAAACACATGTCCTTATCCCACAGTGCCAAGTACTTTGTTTGGCAAAATTTCCCAAGTGTCCAAAAACTCATTTCAGTTGTGGTAACAGCCAGCCTTACCAGCTGGTTTGGAGCAGCCCTCAGCAGTGAGAGCCAGAGGTCAGGAGCACTGAGAAGTGTCCTCAGGTGTGTGAGGCACAGCTCTGTGCATTCAGGGGAGAATTTTATATGTGAGCCAAAAAATGTTGACATTAAATACTGAATGTTCTGGTTCTACTCAGCTTTCGAATTTTGAAAAAATCTAAAGGCACAAATAAAAATTAATTTCTGTGCAGAACTAATTAGGATTCATTTTAATCATTAGTCATTTATTTCTTTGTACCTCAATTTCTGACCAGTAACCATTGAATCCTAAACTTTTTTTTTAAGCATTTATTTATTTATTTATTTGTGGTACTGGGGATCGAATTCATGACCTCACACTTGCCAGGCAGGCGCTTAGGCTGCTGAGCTAAATCCCCAGCCCCTGAATCCTAAACTTGAGTTTGACCTATATTTATTTAAAAGTTTCCTTTTGGGAGTAAGTATCCTCCTTGGGAATTAACTCCAGGCCCTCACACATGGTAGGCCAGCGCTCTGCCACTAAGCTCCACCTCCAGCTATTCTTTTATTTTTGAGATAAAATTGGTATCAAACTGGTGATGCTCCTCCCAAGTAGCTGGGATTGGTGTGTGTCACCACTCTCAGCATTAAGGGTCTTTCAGCAGAGCCAGAGAGGGTCTCATAAAAGTTTCTAAAATAGCTAAAATTTGATGTACACTGATGGCCTGCACAGTGAGGTGCCAGATCAGAGAGATCATCAGTATCAGTGAGACCAGAGGCCCTTACCCAGAAAAACTTAGGACAATGATACAAAAATTGGAAAAGGGCAGTACATTGAGGTCTTGGTAGGAGTAGCCAAATGACAGGACAAGCTAGAGCCTGATAAAGGTGATAGCACTGAGACTTTGTGGCAGAGCCCATGGAAAAGGCCAGTTGGCACCTGGCCAGCATTGGAAAGTCTTAGGCAGGATGGTGGAGGAAGAGGCTTGATAAGGGCTGTGTGGTCCTTGGCCAGTTTCGGGGACTAAATAAAGGTAAAAGATAAAGATCTTTTCTGGGAATGACTGAAGGACACAGTGATGCCAATCCCTAGATTGTGTCACCTCTGGGGTGTTCTGCAGGGATCTCCATCCTGGTACCCGCATGGAGTCTTCAGGGTTCACAGCTGAGGCAGGAATGTTTTGTTGCGCTTAGCTGCAGTGTCCTCCAGGGTCTTGAATATTCAGTTCTCTCACCACATCAGCTTCCTTACAAGTCTCTCTCATTCACATCTGATCTCCTCCATTGTCAGTTCCATGCACCCATTTCCAGCTTTCCTGAGTGGGTTCTGGCCCCTTTCCCTGCCTCACCTTCACCTCTGCTTAGTTTGATGCTCTTTGGCTCTTTTGTTTAACAGAATAATCATTGTCCCTGTCAAGTTTTAAAAATAGAGTCAGAGACTTTCAGGGGAAAAAGACTCTGCAACCAGAGTTTCTGATATGTAGAAAACAACAAAGAAATTTATTTATATTTATGGTTACATAGGCTGGGGATTTAGCTTAATCGCATAAACACCTGCCCAGCAAGTGCGAGATCGTGAGTTCGATCCCCAGTACCAAAAAAAAAAAACCAAAAACTATGAACTAAATTTATTATTACAGCTATGTAAAAAGTAAGCTGGGCATGGTGGCACATGCCTGCAATCCCTAGGTACTTGGAGGCTGAGGGAGGAGGCTTTGCAAGTTCAAAGCCAGTGCTGATAACTTAGTAAGACTTTTGTCTCAAAATAAAAAGAACTGGGGATGTGACAGAGTGCTTGACTGGCATGCATTAGGCTTTGGGTTCAATACCCAGCTCCCCCAACAAAAGGCTCTATTCACGCAGTCATAGTTGGAGGTGATTTGAAAATGTTGCCTCTGGGTAGGATGATGATGTGTGGAGCTTTTTTGCTATATTTGTGGAGACATTTCTTTAATGTTATTATGTTGAACTTTTAAATAATGATGATGATAAACCTAACACTAGTAGATACATTGGATAACTGAAAAACTTGGCGTTCTTTTTCAGTTATTCCTCATAAAATTGGCCGAGTCATAGAAGGAAGTCCAGCTGATCGATGTGGAAAACTGAAAGTTGGAGACCACATCTCAGCGGTCAATGGTCAGTCCATTATTGAACTATCCCATGACAGCATCGTTCAGCTGATCAAAGACGCCGGGGTCACTGTCACACTGACAGTAGTTGCTGAAGAAGGTAAGGAAGTGGTAGACTTGTCTTCCTCAAGCTGATCTGAGAGGCGCAGAACTGCAGTGATAGAACCATTCATTTATATACTCTGGAGTCTCTTTGCCTTTTCCACTCAATGAACTTAAAAGACAGTTTATTATAAAGTTGTCAGGTGCTCAAGACAAAGAATCTAGCTAGTAAGTGATGGCCATTTATTTATGTGCTAGAGAAGCAAGCACCTAGGAGTAAAAGATTGGAAACACTTTTCCAATCTTATTTTGTTACAGTAATGTCTCAAGTCTCTGCTTGAGTTAAAGAAAATCTTTAAGAGTTCAAAGAAAGTCACTGTTGCAACCAAGTCTTTTGTGTCCAGCCATGCCTTTTCTTGAGGCAGGGCTTTGTCCTGGGCAGCTGCTTTCTAAAAGAGGGTTGGAAGAGCATGCAGGAAAGCTCATAAATAGGGCATAAAACTCACAATGGCAGTTCTGGAATAATGCGTTGCCTTGATTATAGCTGCCTTTTTAATCATTAAAAATTTCTAATTAGGAACCATTTTGAACCAGTCCATGTTCTTTGTTTATGAATCCCAAGTAACCGCTATGAAGTGCTCATCTCATTTCCCAATTTTGCAAAACTAATGAGGAGAAAACAAAAACCGAATTATGAAGACCCCATCTTTTCATGTTAAAGTTCCTTACTCTTTACTCATGCTCTGTTCTCCCCCATGACCTTCTTATCTAGTCAGTTTCTAGGTCTTGAGTACTTCTCACATCTACCTTTTTTCTGTTCCATTCTCATATTTTATTTCCGACACACTATATAAATGTTTTTTCTCAAGGTACTGTGTTGGATGTTTCTGTGTGTGAGTTTCTATCCAGTCCTAGACTGCAGCTAGAGGTCCTGTCCAGTGCTAGGGCCTGTCCCTCCTCCACTTCCGCTTTCCTGGTGTGTTCCCATACCACCTAGACCCTGTGGGTTCCTTTCTGTACTCTTCCTTCACAGAAACCTCAGGGCTTCCCCTGCTCTCTGCATGGGTATGTGTTACGATTCTTCTCCTATTCTGCATCTGAAATTTACCCGCCCAAGTTCTCTTAGGTGTCTTGTGTCTCCAAACACTCAGAAACATCATTCTGGAAGGTATCTCTTCCTATTTAATGGTTTACATTTTGCATACAAAGAAATTGCTAGTGGTTGGTTATTATACTTAATAGGTGCTCAAAAAATATTTTTTGAGGGAATTTGAATTCTAGGAAAAAGTACATGAACAAATGAATGAGCAAAGTAAAAGTCAAGAGGTTTTAGTTCTGAGCCCTCTGTTATCACCTGAACAGCGGCAACAGAGGAACTTGGAATACAGACACAATTCACCATTACCTACTAGATAGCTAGTTAGATCTTTTTTTTTTTTTTTTGTCTTTTTTTTATTGGTACCGGGGATCGAACTCACGACCATACACTTGCAAGGCAAGCGCTTATACCACTAAGCTAAATAAATCCCCAGCCCGCTTAACATTTCTAATTTTTAATCTTTTTTATCTGTAGAGTATAACTAGTAATGTCTATTTTAGGATTATTGCAGAGATTAAAGGTAAGAATGTATATAAGCCACACAGATACTGAAAGGTACTCATGTGATGATAGCTATCATAGTTTGACCTGCATGCCTGGCTCACTCATTCAGGTCTCTGCTTCATTCTCATCAGAAAAAAAAAAAAAAAGATAATACTTAGTACACATTTACAATGTGAGAAACAGTGTTCAGAGTACTTCATGCATATTAACTGAATTACTACAATAATGGTAGGTAAGCAGTATTGTTTTCTCATTGAGGTAGACAAGGAAACTGTTAGAAACTAGTTACATAATTTGTCTGTGATCATAAAACTTGATAAGAAGTAACAGAAGCAGAGTTTAAATCAGGCGTAGTCTGATTTAAATTTTCCTTGACCCTGGAGGAAAGTGCTCATGTGAGGCAAATGCATTCTCAAGGGTCTAAAACAGTGTTAGGCACATGGTAAGTACACAAAATGTTTTTTAGTGGAAAGTTCTTTAAATGTTACTCAGATACAAACCTGGTCAAATTTCTTTATGTCGATGACTTCATCATGGTCTGTATCACCTGCATTTTAGCTTTAACATTTGTTCTGTGGCTCACAGGAAAAATCCACCCCCTGTACTATAATTAATAACATTTAAGATTGTAAGAATGATATGCATTAACATATGCACTAACATCCTCAAGCCTGGCATGCAGTGTGTACTGATTGAAGGGACTCAAAGTGGGGACTAGTAGTAGTACAGATCAGTCAGATCATCATAGAAAAGGACCAGTTGGGTGGCTGGGGATTTATTTAGCTCAGCTGCGTAAGCACCTGCCTGGCAAGAGCAAGGTTGTGAGTTTGGTCCCCGGTACAAAAAAAAAAAAAAAAAAAAAAAAAACAAAACCAGAAAGAAAAGGACCAGTGTTTTTTGAAATACAATAAAAATTAAAGAAAAATAAAAACAAAGACATAAAATTATTCTGTCGTTTAACATTTTCTAAATTCTTTCACATCCTTACTTGCTGACTAACCATAAACCACGCTTTGCGTAACCCTGGGATAGATAGCTTCGTAGAAAAATTACTCTCTCTTTCTCTTAGTATAATTTTTTTTTTCAAAATACCATTGAGGGTATGGTGGCATACGCCTGTGATCCGAGCACCCACGTACGAGACTGAGGCAAGAGGATTGTAGCCAGCCTGGGATACACACCTGCTCATACATGGCCAACCTGTACTACACTGTAAGACCCTGCCTCCAAAAAAACCCACTGATTGTTGATGGATTTTTTTCTAAAAGGTTATCCAGAATTATTCATCCGCCACACACACACACACACACACACACACACACACATTCTTCTTAAAGTAAAAGTTACCTTTGACATTGTGTTCCAAATACTTCTGGACACACACTTGAGATTTACTGTATGATACTAATCACTGTTCAGGAGAAACAGAAGGATGAGTGGAAACTCTTCAGAGATTATGCCACATTGTGTTTCATTTGTAGGCACAGCCTCTCCATATGCAGTCACATCATTTTATTGTACTCTAGGTTTTTATTAAACTATGGAAACGTTCAAGGTCCCTCATTTTTCTCAGGGAAAAATAGAAAGTCTCCCTTTTGTCCGTAAAAGTCTCATTCATGGAGTTGGTAAGTCTTCCAGTTTCCTTGCTGAATTCAGCATAAACTTTTCTATACCACATTCAGTGAAGACGTGTAGCTATAAGGCTGTCTTCAGAAGTCACATGTTCAGTCCCTGGGCAGGGCTGCACTGCTGCCCACCTGATCTGCGCCCTGCACTGCCCCTTCCTGTGAACATGGAGAAAGGCGTCCGCATGAGAGGAGAACTAGCATTGTTCACTCTGGTCTTTTCTCATCCTTTACCAGTGGTATTTAACATCCATCCTGTTTTGCCAGGGAAATGGCACGGAGCATGTCCCACCTTCTCTCTCACACTCACACTGCAGCCTGACATGGGCCAGCTCCACCCGCGAGGGCTTGTTCTCAAGACTGCATAGAAATCGGCTGCGTCTGTAGATTCTGCTTAGTGGGAAGAAACTTTTATTCCATATCGTGTTTTCAAATTGATAGCTCTCTTTCTCTCCCTCTCTCTCTCTGTCAGGCCTTATTTTTGAGAGTGAACAGTAATTACGAAAGGCTACCAAGGACTCATTTGGAATGAGTTTGGCAATGTGGGCATAATTCTGTTTTGCTTTCCATTTATTGATCTGCTGATTTCCATTTGTCACCATATTCCACTCTCATTTCTTTCCCTGTGCTCAATGGCAGCCATTCTAGTATGTTTTATGTGCATTTTTGTGTCTCTTTTAAAAGCTATTTTTTGTTACCATTTATTTTTGAGTTATATAAATGGTATTTTGTATGCTGGGCTCTTCCTCAGAAACATATGCCCTTTGTGTTTTCATTTCTGTTTGCAGTGCCAGAGATCAAACCCAGGTCTTTGCTCATGCTGGGCAAGCACCGCAGTCTATCACTGAACTGTATCCCTGCCTTCCTTTAAACTTGGGATATAATCCTTCCATAGTGTAAAATTGGCTACTCTGATGTGCACAATTCAGTGTTTTCTGTATATTTACAAAGTTTTCTGTATATTTACAAGCTAACATTAGCAATTTCACACTTTAGCACCCCAAAAAGAAACCGATGCCTATTAGACATCACTTCCCATTCTTCTGCAAGCCCCCAGTTGTTTTGTCTCTCTGGACGTGTAGGGCATTTCATGTAAACAGAATTATGTAACCTTTTATGTATGGCTTTTTTCATTTGACAAAATGTTTTTCAGGTTCATCCTTGTTATAAACACTGTGTAGCACTTGTAACGTCATTCCTTTTCATCCTAATAATCTTCCTTTACATACACATTTTGCTTACCTGTTAATCACTTCATAGACATTTGGGTTGTTTCTGCCTTTTTACTCTTGTGAACGATGCTGCTGTGAACATTGATATGTATGTTTTTGGGCTAATACGTGTTTTCATTTTTTGTTGTGTATATCCAGAAGTCTTAATTGTTGGGTCATATGGTAACTAACTTTTTGAGAAACTGCCAAACCATTTTTCCCAGCAGCAGCTGTACCACTTTTTATTCTCACCGTGATAGGTGAGGCTTCCAATTTCTCCCTGTCTCTCCCACTCTTGTCTTATGCTTTGAGGATTTGGCTTTCATTCTAGCTGTTCTAATAGGTGTCAAGTGTCTTGTGGCTTTGATTTGCATTTCGATGATGCATGTGCTTGTTGACCGTCTGTGTATCTTCGTTAGAGAAATGTCTGCTTAAATATTTTGCCCATTTATAACTCAGTTTTTGTCATTTTATTATTGGTTTGTAAGAGTTCTTTATATTTTCTAAATACTAAGAACTTTGTCAGATAAATGGTTTACAAGTATTTCTCTCCCATTTTTCAGATGTCACTTTGTTGTTATTGGCCTTTGATGCACAAAAGTTTCAATGTTGATGAAATCCAGTTCATTTTTTTTCTTTGATTGCCATGCTTTGCTGTCATAGGAGCATGTGCTTTTAAGATTTACCCATGTTGCTGGGTGAACACAATGATCACTTCAGACTGCCTGACACTTTCCAAAGTGTGTATTCACTGCATGCTGCCTGCCCGCTTCCCCATGGACAGCCATGTTCTCTCCATCTGCAGAGCATCACACATGTGACACTTTGAGGTCACACACAAAGTATCACATGTTCCTCACATGTGTTCCTTATGAATCACTGTGAGGATTTCTGGGGGTAGAATTGCTAGATTAAAGCATATTCATAAGATTAATTTGACTCAGCACTGTCGGATTATTCTCCATAATTGCTGCATCCATCCATACTTCCCCAGTAAAACACTGGTGATTTCTTCCTGTACCTTTACATTCCAGCAAATATGTAACTTTTTGAGTCATAATATGTGTGCTTTTGAGTTTGATAAAGCATGGCAAGTATTAGCTCATTGTCATTTAATTTACATTTCACAGATTATCCATGAGTTTGAATGTCTCTTCATATGTTTGAGGGGTTTTCTCTTGTGAATTGTCTGCCTATTCATACTGTTTGCTCAGTTTTCTTTTGGGATTTGTGACAGCATTGGTATTTAGGAGTTCTTGGTAAATTGTATAGGCATTAGTTCTATTTTATTTTAAAAGTATAAATATCTTTGCCTTGTAGTATGCTAACGTTGACCTGGTATCCATATTATGCTGAATCTTTTACTTTTAGATATAGTCAGATTTTTTATGGCTTGAGCTTTTGAAGTTACAAGGTAAATCATCCTTTTACCCTACATCTCAGATTTCCCCTCCCATTGTCTTCTGTTGGATATAATATATTGCATTTAGAGCTTTAATCTGTTTGGCACCTACCTGTGTCTGTGGCTTTAGAAAGGAGTTGGGAGTTTTTTTTTCAATCCTATCATAAACCACTTGCCCCACATCAACTATTAGTACTACTACTCTCCATTGACTTGTGCCATCTACCCTGTACATTAACTTACTCTGTGAATGTTTAAGATGAATAGACAGATATAGAGGGTTATATATACACATATCAGACATACACAAAATTGTTTACCTGTAAATTTGTAGTCTATCAGTATATTTCCATATAAAATCTTAGATCAAATTATTAAGCTTGTCCAAAAATCCAATTTTATACTGAGCATATACTCAGTATATATTTTAAGATTTACATTTTAAAAGATTAAAATTATCTCATAGCTTGGGATGTTTCTCCAGTTTTTCAAATCATCTTTTGTGCTTTTTAATAAAATCTTACAGTTTTAAAAAGTTTTCTTATGGGTTTCTTATTTACTCTTACAAATTTCTACCCACTAATGTTTGGTACTACAGTTCAACTATGGAGTTTGCATTTATCTTCTGGTAATATACTTAGGTATTTATGCAAAAAAAACTCAGCAAAGAATGTCATACTTGTTGAGGGAGGAAGAGATATACTTAACCCAGTCCTTTACTATTTGAAAAATTTCCAGATAAAATACAAAGAGATAGGCCACTTTGACATCATGGAATAAATAATTTAACTCTAAGAACTAGATTAGCTTATAACACAGAAATTGGAAATGATCTATAGCATAGACTGAAGGATTAAAAATGAGAATACCAATGATCAGTTTTTTTCAGTCTTGATAGAGACAATATGAAATATGTAATTTGAAAAGTGAGTACCACCTTGTACATTTTGCCTAGAAGTGGCATCTCTCCTTCTCCGTGGAAAATGGAGGAAAATGTGAAAGCAGCTTGTTTGTACTATCCTCTGACATCACTTAACTCTAGCCAAACTCATAAAGCCAAGTGTATCTATCTGTGTTGGACTCATACAGAGGTACAAGTATTTCTCCCAGTCATCTTGTTCATTGATATACTTTCCCCATCAGTTTCCATCATCTGCATAGTTTATAGTGACAGGAAGAGATTTCAACTCTGTAATGAGCTCTCAGGTTTAGACACAGGTCATCTGAAACTGACACACGCGGTAAGCTAAGGTGGGAGTAAGCAAAAGGAATTTCTGGCTGGGTACAGGAGATAATGTGGTCAGATGCTGGTGGAAACTCTGTGATCATGGTATGCTTAGGAGCCACACAGGAGGGACATTTTGAACAGGAGGTGAAGTAGGAAGGCAGAAATGACAAGCTTAGGTAGTGTCTTAACATGCAACATGAAATCACAGTAGCTTCTTAAGCATATTTCAGAACTCAACACTGGAAGCAAAATGAAAGCCAGATTGGCGGCAAGGAGACCAATTAGAAGACCAACTGGCAGCTCCTTAAACTAATTAGGACAATAAAATTCATGGTAGCTGTACTGTGAAAGAGCAACAAATGTGTTCTCCACTAACACAAGGAAAAAAAAGTTAATAGCCCATCCCATTCCCATCCCATCCTGCCTTCCCTGACAGCAGCATCGAAGTGGAATCACAGCTTCCAGCCACGTGCCGGCTTCAGCTCCATCTCCAGGTCTGGTGCTCTTTGCTGAAATCTATGTTGACACCCAGTCCTAGCACCCAGCGTCAGAAGGCTCCAGGGACCCCGTGGATGACCATATACTATTCCTCAATCCTTCCACTTTTCACCACTTACCTGAGTATTCTTTAGCTGTTCTTAAATAAAAACACTTTTTTTTTTTTTTTTTTTTTGTCTTTTTCGTTTTTATCAGTACCAGGGATCGAACTCACGACTGCCTGCTTTCAAGGCAGGCAATTATGCCGCTGAGCTAAACCCCCAACCCCCACATTATTTGTTTTACTCCCACAGAACACTGAAGAAAAACAACACAACCCAAACCATAAAAGTTGTGCATATAATAAAGCCTGAAGTTTCAGCTTCCTCAGTAGAGACTGCAACCTGACACTCACACATCTTATAATGTTAGACTTTATCTGACTGTTGAATTCCAACATTCAGTTCATATCTGTTTCCATGTGTTCTGACCTAAAATGGCCTCTGCATTGAACGTTTTTATAAAGTAAGAGAAATTTTCAGACTATGTACTTCAAGAAAAATGTAATTCCAAATGAGACATATGATGGTGGTCATGATAAGTTAATAATGACAGTTATAGTAGAAACCTTTTATAGTGAATATTGCCAAGTACTATTTCTAAGCATATACATTTATAAATTTATTTGGTACAATAACTGTGATAACTGTAATTCCATTATACACGAGATGATTAGAAGTACAGAAATATAACTACCTTGAATATGAACACAGCAAGTAAATGATGGGGTCAGGCTGAGAGTTCTCCCATCTTGCTTCAGAGTTAGTGTTGTAATCACTAAGCTGCACTCTTTGTTCTTTATATTTAAATATTTTGGGCTTTGATAGGTGTACAAAGTGAAATGTTCAAAGCTTCAGCTTTAAACAATGAGTTCAGCTATGTGTGGTGGTGTGCATCTATGATCCCAGCATGCCTGGCACTTGGGAGACTGAAGCAAGAGGATCATAAGTTTTGAGGCCAGCCTGGCCAACTTAGTCTCAAAAAAAGTATGACCCCTTAAGAATCTCTTTTTAACTGGTATCACTCCTGTCTGCCATCTAGCTCTCACACAGGCAGTTACTGTGCTTGGCTATGAAATTTGCCTTTAGAGGCGTTGAAAACTATTCAGCATGATAGGTAAACATGTTACTCTTGCACCTGTATTGTGTTCTTAGGAAACAGAACCATTTGAAGCTGTCTGGACATTTGTCAGCACTCAGGATGATTTTATAATCTTTGCTCAGTGTCAGGCAAAATAGCTGTCCCTGTTTTAAAAAGTAGGTTCAAAGTTGTGTGGGTTACCTGCAAACTGGCCTTTATATTCCAGCATTCCCAAAGCCTGTCACTGTCACCTATAATAGCTTACCAGTTAAGAGGCATGTGGTCTGGAAACCAAGAGAATGGGCTACAAGATTGTGCCTGAGCTCTGTCTCCTAGATAAATATAACTGCATTTCTGGCTCTCAGATTGCATGGGTGACCAAAACGAGGAGGAAAGTGGGGAAGAAAGGGTAGATGCCTTTTCTTTTGAAACACGAACAGAGTTACTGTCCCAGACAGCTGAGCACAGTCCTGCGCCATTATGTTTCACTTTCCTAGATCTGCTTGGCCTTCACAGTTCTGGGTGAATTCTCATTTCTGTTGTTTCCTCATTTGAATAGAGCACCATGGCCCACCATCTGGAACAAACTCCGCCAGGCAGAGTCCAGCATTGCAGCACAGACCCATGGGACAGGCACAGGCCAACCATATACCTGGGGACAGGTGGGACTGTTTTCATTGGCTTTGGGTTGTTTTCTTCTCTCTGCTCTTGACACTAGTTATGCGGAAGACAGCCACTAATGTCAGAAGAGCACTTCTGTGCTTTCTGCTCTCAGCTCCCTGTGCCTGGCGTGTCCCCCACCCCACACAGCGCAGTCCTTCCGGCTGCCTGACCGGACAGTTGCAACGCAGTAGGGAAGCCCCAGACCACAGAATCGTATTTCTCTCCTCTGCTGAAAACATTAGTGCGAGACAAAAACTAGATTCTAGAAATTCAGCATCTTCCTTTTGGTGTTCCAGGAGAGTCATTTTTCACTGTGACAAGAGCACTTTATCTGCCCTCTGGCTCAGTTCTTTGAGTGCCAGTTTTTCTGGCTGTAAACTGCACTGAGACACTATTTTAAAGACACGGGGATGTTGACAATTTCAAGCTATGCAGCTCCCTGTCTCTAGGTTAGTGTATTCTTTCCAGCAGTTTCTCAAAGGGAGAAGAGTAAGGATTGGTTTTATAAGAAAAGAAATTAATCTGCTTTTTTTTTTTCAAAAGGTTTTCATTTTCTTAGTTGAGAGAATGACTTGATTTTTCTCATGCAGAACTGCCCTGGAAGGTGAAATGGGAAAGGACACTTCCAGCTCTTACAGACATTCATGGTCTGACCACAAGCACCTCCCACAGCCGGACACTGCTGTGAGTTCAGTGGTGGGCAGTCGGCACCATCAGGTAACCCAGCACTCTTCCCTGGCAGACTGAGACTTCGAGGGGTTGCTGTATCACTGACATGAGTGGTTTTTATTGCAAATAAGCTCTCAGGTCAATTTATTTCCAAAATTAGTAACATGCACACCTGTTGTGTGTTCAATGTTTGGTTAGCTTTCATGAGAGGATACAAAGAAGGAAGGAAAAGTACACCAGGAACAAAATTGACCCCTTCGTGGAGTACTTACAAGCACATAATGTAGCTAATTAAAGTGGACTTCTGCTTGTTCAGTTTTCATAGTCAGATCTCCTTTTTAAAGAAAGCATTTTATAAAATTCTGTTTCCATCTACTGTACATTAACCAACTAGGAAATATATAATCTTTAGCCTAGGGGGTATTGGTAAAAATTAACCACTCTACCCAAACTTGCATTCCTGTGGTACAGAAGTGCATACTGAATGCACAGAATCCTTCCTGCTAGTGTATAGCTAGTCTTTCCTCAGGATGTACTCAGCGTCCTGTGAGAACTTACTTCTGTAACTCTTCTCTCCTTGCAGAGCCTGGGCTGCTACCCAGTGGAGCTGGAGCGCGGCCCCCGGGGCTTCGGGTTCAGCCTGCGGGGTGGGAAGGAGTACAACATGGGGCTGTTCATCCTCCGCCTGGCCGAGGACGGCCCTGCCCTCAAAGACGGCAGGATTCACGTAAGTGGCTTCTGTCTGCGCTCCAGCTTTAGACCAGGAACTTGTGCAGATAATTGATTTAGAAGAAATGCAGAAAGCTTCTAAATCCTAAGAAACAGAACCTTTCCACTGCAAAGCCTAAGAGGTACCTGCTCATCTCTGTGCTCCCTGAACCCCAGGGAGGCCGTCTTCCCACCAGCGAACTGGACCCACTGCAGCTGCACTGCATTGCCTTTCTGATCTCAGTCAAAAAGCAAAGTCATTTCTTACTTGTACAGCCAACATCTGAGGGTAAATGGATTAATAAATAAAATATATTTTCATCTTATTAAGTCTTGAAAAAGCCAGGATAATACAGAATCTTTAGTTTCTTCCAAGAAAAAATAAGCCCTGGTTTTTTCTTTTTTTTTTTTTCCCCCTCTTAGCTGCCCATAGAAGTACCCAGAGGTAAAAGTTCTGAGTCTCCCCACCTTCATTACTGTTTGAAGGACTAAATTCATGCCAGTAGCATTTTCCACTAGGAGTGCTCAGCTTTGCACAGGGCCCTGCAGACCAAAAGTACTCCTCCGTGTCTGTATATTAATTAAAGAAGAATTCTATATAGAAGACAATTGCTGTTCTCAAATTTTTATTTACTTTGTGCTGGGGACTGAATCCATGGCCTTAGCTCTGAGATACATCTCCAATCTTTGTCCATGTTTTTCAGAGAGAGGGTCTTGCTAGGTCACTGAGTTATCGAGTATGCCTCAGCCTCTCTGTTCTGAGATTATAGGCATGTGCCACCACACCCAATGCTGCCCTCAATTTTTAAAAGTAGTTAATTTACTGCTATTCAGTTAGGTCTACAATAAAAATTTGAAATTCTAGACAGTCTTCTCCTTACCACTCAACTTCAGATTTCTCCCCTCTAGCATTGATAGGTATCAGGGAAAGAGAATTTGTTTCATTTAATTGAGCGAGCTAGATAGGCAAATGATCAAAGCCAGATACAGTGCTATCCGAGGAACTCCAGAGGCTGGGGCAAGAGGATCTCAAGTTCAAGGCCAGCCTAGGAAAACTTAAGAGTAAAATTCTGTCTCAAAAAAGGCAAGAGGAGGTAACTCAGCCTAGTGTTCGCCTAGTATTGTACAGACCTTGGGTTCAATCTCAAGGGGAAAAAGAACAAGGGGATCTGATTAAGATGTACAGAAGTGTTCAGGGGTGACAACCCCTGAGGGGTGCTCACCTATGGGGGTGTGAACCAGTTAGAGAAGTTTGTATTAAAGAGATCTTATACCTACCTCCCTAGCCTTTTTTTTTTTTTTTTTTTTTTTTTTTGAAACAGGATCTCACTAAGTTGCCCAGACTGGATTCAAATTTGTTATCCTTCTGCCTCAGCCTCCCAGATTGCAGGGATTACAGGTGTACACACCACATTCAGCTGTGTTATATTTAACACAAAGCAGAATCAGATCAGATTTAGAAAATATTGAGCATGCTGTCTTCTGGGCAACATGTTTTCCCTTATTTTAATTTTGGTCTCTGTGAGGTAGGTGGCAATATCGCCACAGATTTAAAAGTGAGAGATGAAGTCACTTGCTGAGATGACTTGGCCTGTCAGGGTTTGACCTCAGTCCCTTTAGATTTGATTTCATTAGGAGGCATATAGTTTTCTAACAGTTGTGAGATAATGCAAATGTGTTACAAATGTTATTTTGTCAATGTAATAGATTTTTAGTGGCTGTTTCTTAATTTTATTTTTGAGACAAGATCTTGCTATGTACTTCAGGCTGGCCTCAAACTCTTAAGTGATCTTCCTGTCACAGCCTTCTGAGTGCTGGTATTACAAACATGTGCCACCATGCCCAGTTAAAAACTACAAGTCTTCTAAAAGACAGTGATGTGTTTGTACATATGTGTGTTTGGGGGATACAAGGTCTCACTAAATTGCCAGGGCTGGACTTGAATTTTTGATCCTTGTGCCTTGGGCTCCCAGACTACTGAGGCTCTCAGCATGTGCCTTTGTGTTTTCTTTTGATTCACTTTTACTACTTTTTATTTCTTTATTCTTTCTTCTGTCACTCATGGTTTTTTCAATAATACAAAACTGAATTTGAATCTGTCATGATGTTTCCCCATTTTATTTTTATCAGATTTAAATATTTAAAGTAACTTAAAATTTCAGCATGTTTACCTTGCCCCTCTCAAGAGCCTTTTAAAAAATCTTTAGTTTTATGTAGTTCAGAATAGAACCCTTCCCCCAATAAATCTTAAAGCCCCGGTTCCCCCTCCTTTCCCAATTTGGTCTAAAACAAAAGTGACACCTGGTGGCAAATCTGCTCAATTACAGGTTTCTTTTGCAGTTTGTTAAAAACAGGTTTAGAGTTTGAAATTAACTATAAGGCAACCATGTTTTATCAGATACACCTGGGCACATTCCAAATGTTACTTTCTGTAACTATAAGGATTATGTACCCAGTGCTAACTTATCTGTATTTTTTTTTGAAAGTGATTCCACCAAAACTTACTATGGGAAATCAAGGTACTGACTTAATTTCATTTAGATATTGTGGATAGTAGGACTTTCTCAGTCCTGTTATTTTTAATGTCTTAGTTTTTTAAAAATTTTTTTTGTTTTACGTACCTAGCTTACTGTTTCCTGTTACCATAACTGAAAACTTGAGAACTGGAAACAGATAATTTGTCTTACAATCTAGAGGCTCGGAAGGCCGAGGGTACACAGTGATGGGGCATGTTGCTAAGTTCTGAGGCCTGCACATTATCCTAGCTAGAGACAGAGCATAGGCCAGAGACAGCTCCCTTTATAACAAAGCAGGTCCTTTGAGAACTCACAATCCGTATGGAAGTTAATCAGCCAGTCCCCTCCTAAACGTTAACATAGGATTCTGAGAATTACATTTCCAGTACAGGGATTCCAAGGGGCATTCACATCATAGCAGTATTAAATCCATCAGTCTTCTTCCTGATATCTTTCACTAGCATCTTTTTTTCAGATATAGTCTAGGTGATATTTTGCATTGTATAAAATGAGGTACAGTTAACTACAGTTAAATGTTCATGCTAATGTGATTTATAACTTAAAAAGCAACACTTATCTGTGGTTGGTGTGCAGTCACCTTTTATCTAACTCCCAACTCCAGGAGGCAGGTATTATTCTCTTCAACAGAGGAGAAAAATGAGGCCACTGAGCGCAAAAGAACAAAACGGGACCACAGACATGGACTCTAAAGTCCAGGCTCCTAACTGCTGTGCCAGGCTGGAGAGAGAAATGTCCCATTGACCTCTGTCAAATAATCACTGAGTGTTTTCTGTATTACTTCTGAGTTTAATAAACTCATATCTGCTGTTTGGGCTTTTAGTAATATTCCATTGTTTAGTCCTACTTTGAAATCAGTGCCATCAGTTGCATGTCACTTTGAAATAGATTCTAAAATCACTAACATCAATATCTTTAATCCTCTGCAAAAGTTATACTTGATTTTCCGTATTTTTACCTTTCCTTTTAAAATAACTAGATTATTTTAAATAAATAACAGTGGCACTAAAGTATCTTCTGATCCCTAGTTTATATCTGTTTTCCTGGAAAATGCTTTCCTTTCTAACGTCACTAAATATAAGCCAGTAACTGGTTATAAATAAGTATTCATATCCATCTGTTTACCAGGCATCGTTCTTTCAGGATTTTAATCTCTAAGTTTGTCATTTACCTTAGGTCTCCTATATGAATAGGATACAGTAGCAGCACAGAGAATGGACAGTCCTCCCAGAAGGTTAGGAATCTGAAGACTCAGCTTACATTTGAAAGTACTCTTCACAGTTCGATCATTTAGATACAGCTTTGTGGTATCATTTGATTTTTATAAACCTTTCCTATTTCCTTTAGGTGGAAAATTCTGGTTTGTTTTGTTTTTCCTTATCCAACACCAGGCATTGAACACAAGGCCTCATGCATGTTAGGGAAAAAAGTTTTTTGGATTTTTATTTTAGTGATGTCTGGGGATTGGACCCAAAACCTTATGCATGTTGGGCAAGTGCCTTACCTAAGACTTTGATTCTTAACTTCAAGATAACAAAACTTCGGCAGGTTAGGACTTTTATTAAATAAAACTCTACATTGTCTCGCCCTATTGTTGCCATCTGTCCATACGTCACCTCTAGCACTACAGCACATTGTATTAAGTTAAATATTTTAGGAGTTGCTTAGCAAGGTTGGAGAGCCCTAGAGTTGCCACAAGCAGAACTGAAGGTCTCTCACAGTTTCATGTTGTTCTATGACTGCTCTCTGTCTAGGTTGGTGACCAGATTGTTGAAATCAATGGTGAACCTACACAAGGCATCACACACACTCGAGCCATTGAGCTCATTCAGGCTGGTGGGAATAGAGTTCTTCTTCTTCTGAGGCCAGGAACTGGCTTGATTCCTGACCATGGTAAGTAATTGTTACAGATTCACTGGTGGCTAAAAGGTGGTGTGTTAGGGAGGAAGCAGCAGAAGGATAATAGTATCTGTGTGGGTATTTCACTAGCTAAATCAGAGATGAACACCAGAATCATCAAAAGCAGAGTGACTTCCATTTGCTGGAATAGAATATATTTTGATTTCATTGGACAGCATAAAGTGCTTTTGTAGAGAAATGTGCTGTAAGGAATAAGAACATTAGAGCAAACAATTTAAATGATATGAAACACATTTAAAATGTCTTAAATATTCCAGCTATCTCCTGTCCTTGGTTAACTGCGTATTACCAACAAGTATTACTCATAAGAAGTGAACATCTTACTATAAGGAAATACCACAAGAACTTTAGGCTTTTCTGGTCACTTTCAAAAACAGGTTGCTATAGCTCTACCTGGAGATACAAAAGTGAACCTGAAACCATGTCTGTACTCCTAGACTGGCCTTAAACTTCCTTGGTTTCATTATATATTTTGAACTGTGGCAGTATGTGGAAATCACTGTTTTGGGGGGTTTTTTTAGTGTATCAGCCTCACAGTGAAGGCAGAACCACACCCACTGAGTCCTGTCTCCTTTGCCGTCCCCACCCCCATGGTAGATCTTCTGCAGGAAAAACGTAGACATAACCTCCCACAGTCCCCTTGCAGCTTGTAATTCTCTGACTGTATTATCTTCCACCATCTGCTTGTAAATCATACATTCCCAGTGACATCTTTGCTAACTGCACTGATTTTATTTTTCATATAGTCCTAGGCTTTTTCTCTTCCTTCTTCAGGTTTGGCTCCTTCCGGTCTGTGCTCCTACGTGAAACCTGAGCAACATTAAGGCTTTCAGGGCTTTTCTTGGTCTTTCCTTAAAAAGACTTGGTAAATTTGCATGTCTTATAAATCCCTTCCTTCTTTTGTTTTCTTTTTGATTAAAAATGATGCTATTAAATACATCTGTTTCTATCTTCTGCACTTTTCAGTTTCCTTTTGACATTAAATTTGATAGCTTTATGCAAGATATTTATTTACAAATGCCCATGAACTTCGTTCTGGTTTCACAGTTTGTTCTTCTTTATTGGTGGTTTGATAAATCCATTGATCACACCTTAATTAGCCTCATGGACCAGGTAATTTGGTCCAGTTTTATTATTTCTTATGTACTACTGATTGGGCTTTATAGATTACATATTAATTATACATGATTACAAAAATGAAGTATTATATACATAAGAATCTACCCATCCTATACCAACAGATACCTATAAACATCTGCCTTCACAGACAGATATCTAAATATGTATAAGCTGTGTAATATACTCAGGCTGTTTTTGTAGTCAGTACAATTCAAATGGCTCTCCAAGTTCAAAACTGTGGTTCCTATTTATAATTTTAAAGTTTAATAATGTTGCACTCAAATCACTTTTTAGGTGATTGGGATATTAATAATCCTTCATCTTCCAATGTGATTTATGATGAACAGTCACCATTTCCCCCATCTTCACATTCTGCTTCCATATTTGAAGAGTCTCATGTACCAGGAATTGAAGATTCTCTAATGAGAGTTCAGATATGTGAAAAGGCAGAAGAATTAAAGGACACTGTACCTGAAAAGAAAAGCACTTTAAATGAAACTCAGTCTGAGATAAAGCATCAGTCTTTTCTCCAAAAAAATGTGAATAAGAGGGATCCACCCAGCAGCCATGGGCACAGTGACAAGAAAAGTCTACAAAGACTAGACAGTGGTGTCACACAAAGAGGTGGCTCTGTCAGTCCCAAAAAGTCAGCTCATCACTATTCAGAGGAACATTTGGAAAAGCTTCCTTGTCCTCCAAAATATGACCCCAAAAGAAGACCCAGAGATAGATCACTCAGCCCTAGGAAAAGGTATCAGACTGACCCCAGAGCAGCTTCTGGACAAGATCATTACAAAAAAAGCAGAGGACGCTCTTCTAGCCCAAGGAAGCAGCAAAAAACTGAAGAATGCAAGGACTTGTCAAATGCCGAAGACACATTACCCAAAGGTGAGGGTCACAGAGGAGCAGGCCGTGCTACTGACAGTGCTGAGCAGGTCCCAGATTGGAAAGAAAATTCAAGTCTGATCAGTAAAGATGTGAAGCAAAGTCAGTTGGGAAAAGACAAAACCAGGTCTGCAGAGAAACAAAGCAAAAGAATGGATGAGAAGTCTCTTGCCTCCAAAAAGAGAATAGTGTCTGGAAATGAAAAAGGAAAGAAACCAACTGTAGGAGAAATACATTCTGCTAAAGATAAAATAGGAGAAAATGTCCAGATATCAGAGAAAAAGGTGAGACAGGAACCTGAAGAAAAGACGCTATTAAATAAAACAGAAGATCACAAAGAGAAAGAACTAAAGACAGCTGACAAATGTAAAGAGAGTGGAAGGGTCAAACCTGAAAGCAGCTCTCCAGTTAAGAAAGCACCAATAACTCCAGGGCCCTGGAAGGTGCCAAGTGCAAACAAAGTCACAGGCACGACTGGCATGGCTGAGAAACGGTTGTAACCTTTAGCATAAAACAAAGAAAAACAAGTTGTAATCTTTTCTTACTAAAAAGCAGCATTCTTCCAGAAAGTCATTTTTCCAGAGATTCTGAAACACCTAAGTACCTTTTAATTTGCACATCAAGTTTCTAGGCTGCATGAAGGGCCTTTAGGATTGCTAAGAATCAACCGTCCTAGCTGGCCGCCTGCCGGCCCGCCCGTCCTCAGGACAAAGCTGTGTCCCCATACCCATCTGACCTGTTCTGTGAGGCTGCCTGCTCATCTCCAGGAGTGTCTGACAAGTGACATGTTGATATCAACGCAGTCACAACTCCCTTTGTATTTGTGCCAAGTTATCTACTGTATCATGTCTGTTTTTCCTCATTCAGATATTTCTGCAGTAATGGAACAGTTAGGTTTGGCTTTGAAGTTGGTGTTTTCAATAGCATGTTGCATGTTTATACAGAGAAATATTTGAGTCCTTGCAGATGAGATTGTTAGCTTATCATTTCAAACTAACATCTATTGATAAGAGTCCCAGTTTAAAAGTAAAACTCCCAAGCATCATTAATTTAAAGCAAAAGGTCAAATAGTAATGCTTTCTTACAGCTTTTTATTTTAATTTGGCTGGATAAGGTGTTTCAAATAACTGTTACAGATATTACAACTAAATGTTCAAAATGAGAAAGTCCTTCTAAGCAGCAAAGCTCACTCCCCGGCTGTTACCAGTTACCTCATCTCAGGTCACCCTTTCCCAGTGTGAAACCGCAGAGCAGCATGCAGGAGTACTGCTCACTGTTCTTCAAGGAGAAACTGCCGATTAGCTATTCCTGGATATTTGGATTGTATCTGCCACTAAAATCATCGAAGGGTCAGATTATATACAGTGTTTGAGGGACTTAATCTAGAAACCAGCTTCACAGTCCTATGCCAGATGCAGGTCCAGCTCATGGGGCAGATGGACAAGATCAGGCCTGTGGAAGCAGCACCCACGGGGTCCTGTCCAGCTCTCAGGACAAGCATGGTAGACAGCACATGCTTAATCTTTAATTTTTAGTACATTAACTTTCTTATTGAAAAACAAGAAAGGGAGATTAAACATCTGCTTAGCTTGTACAACTTCTCAGAGTAGTTTTAAAAGTCTAATTAAAGATGTGTACTGGAAGATAGAGATAGTTAACTCAATAAAATAGGTCCAGGTTTTAAAATCCCTGAAGCAGCATTCAGTAGCATCTATGATTAAAGGCACATTTTCACTGTAAAAATACTTCATGGAGGATTTAAACACGTTTTTTCTGTCATCCTGAGTTCATCTTGTCAAACACTTTATGTCCAGGTCTTATCCCTCTGCAGATCTGACTGTGAAACTCACACAGCAGTTATATCAGTCCCTGTAGATAGCACATGCTTCTGAGGGTCGGACTTCCCTTTCATCCAGGACTTATTTGCCCATCTGTTGTGATTACTTGAATAGAGCAAAATTAGGAGGCTTGAATAAGTGCTAATAAATTTAGTAAGAGAAATGACTTATTTTCCCAATAGTCCACAATTAGTGATACAAATCCTATTTTTATTGTTAACTGTGACATAACTTTGATGTCATATGTTGTCTGATGTGGCTCTTCCCTAAGTAACCTGTCACTGTACTGATTATATACTGATTTAGCAATGTGGCCTTGGAATGCTGAGCAAAACATGCTGGATATCCTGGTTGTAAATGTTTATATATGTACAGTACTTTATATATACATATATATATATATATATATATATATACACACACACACTTGAGGTTCTGATTAGAGAAAGATCTGTAAATTGCTCGTTATTTTTTATATAGATATTAAAAAAAAAAAAAAGCAGTTCACGACCTGAATTTCTTTCAACTTTCAGCTTTGCTCATGTTGCTTTCTATTTGGGGAGCTAGTTCTCAAAAAAAGATTTTGTCCTCCAAGTAAAAAACATTCAAAGTCCTACACTCAGGAAGATTGTTACAATATGACTTTACTTGTACAGCTAGACTTTTAAACATGTGAGATGTGAGAGGCATATATATTTTTTTACCTTTCATTGTAAAGAAAATGTTTGCTTAAATCATTTGCTACTAAAAAAAGAAACCTGTCTTACAGTAGATAGGGAAAAAAGATATTTTTTTGTACTAGAAATCAAACTTGTGATCTCACATTTGCCAGGCAGATGCTTTGTTGCTGAGCTAAATCCTTAGCCCCAAGATAGTTTGTCTTACTATTCAGTTACCTAAGAGTTATAATGTATAGCTACAATGTAAGTCTAATTACCACATGGTCACAAAATTCTGCTTCATCAGACAGTGGAAATCCAATGTTATTCTTACAGGTTGTTTTATTTACTTTAAAAACGAAGTGTTTCTACTTGTTCATACTGAGTTAAATGGATTAAGACCTAAAACCTACTTTAAAACCCTGGTTAATTAAATGCTCTTGAGAAAAATAAATTTCTTCCTACCACTGCATGAACTCACACTAAAAATAAAACTCACTCTCTGATTCCTAGATGAAATGTGTTACAGCAGAGCTGCAGGAACCGCCTGCAAGGTAGTCCCCCCAACCCAGAGGGGACACGTTGTCTTACCTATCACTCAGGCAGAACAGTTTTGGGAAACTACCACATAATCTCAACAGAAAGACCAGGTTGCTAAGATCAAAAGCATTGTCTTCAAACATGGTTACATCAAAGCAATTTTGACAGTCAACTCCTATTTCAGGAGTCCTGGACCAAAAGACCACGGGGCATATTTTTACATGAGAGTATCTTGCTATTAAGAAAGGACATAAACAAACAAATGAAAAAAAAAACATAAACAAGCGTTTTTCATAAAAAATAAAAGGCATGTGGACTGACGAGTTTCATGTTTAATATGTCCACTAATTCAGAGTTGGGTTTTAAGAAAGCAAGGAGTATTGAGATGAAACTCGAGGTCTGTGACAGTCTGCCAGTTTTTAAACTGCAGCTTAGCCATAGAATGGTCCTGGAACAGAACACTGAACACACACAGGCTTGTCACAAAATACAGCTTTCCAGTTTGGTAAGAGGAATACATCAGAGCAACTTTTGACATCATCATGCCATGCACCAATGTCTAAAAGCCATCTATCCTTTTAAAACGGTAACATCTTACCTAGGTAACTTCTCTGGTTCTACTTTCAGGGTTTACCAGCAATGTATGACTTACTTAAAGCATGCCATAATTATTATATGAAGTCTATATCCTGAGTTGGCTCAATCACTTTAAGATATCCATTAACTTGGGGATGTTTTCAGTGTTGCTCTGCAAGTACCATTAGGTACAAGAAGGAAGTGTGCAGGCTCATTAGGAATGGAATTCCAATAGAGAGCCCTGAATCACTCTCTCTCTAACAAAAAACAGAAAAGTGCTGCAAGTTAGCCTTATACTATGTCAACAAAGATTCCTGTGGATATGAGTCTACTTCGTAACATTAACAATACCTTTAACATTAAAGCAAGCCAAACAATTAGCAAATTCACAAACCCAACAGTTCATTTATTTAATTTTTTGTGTGCCAGGATCGCAGTCGCGACCTCATGCTTGCCAGCCAGGCACTTACACTACTGAGCTAAATCCCCAGCCCCTCAAAGTTCATTTTGACCTTCTACAAGGACAACCACTTGTTCACTTGGGCAATACCTTATGGCAGCTTATAAGGCTCAAGATACTCTGCAGGAAAGATACAAAATTACTGCACATTTGTGACACTCAAACTTCATCATTCAACATGGGCACCAGTAACTGCAAGAAGCAGAAGAGTACTTAAAATTACTAGTCAATACATGTAATAAGTTAGATTAAATTTAAGAATTTTTGATCTCCCAAATCACATGACATTTCAGAGCAAAACCCAGATGGCCTACAGTAAATATGCAGACCTTAAAAATTTTTCAAAATCAGTTTCATTAATTTGAAAGAAGCTTATTTTTACAGTGCATAGGTCAACTTACCTCTAAACATCATGAACCAAAAGTAAAAAACAAACCAATAAACTTGCACTTTGTAAGCCATCCTTGTATTTAGACTTTTTCTACATGTCCCTGAAAGTCAAGAAAACCACATGCCATTAGGTCTTTCATTATTCAACTTTTCCAACATACTACATGGACCATGATCTACACATTTAGAAGTCTGCAGATCATACCTCCATGGCAATGTCAGGAAGGGTGATTTTCCTCAGTGTGACAGCAGATTAAAAACTTAAGTTAGTAGTTATTTTTCTTACACTTCTATAGTTAGTCCAATTAAATGATGAGTAGCTTGACCTGTCTTCACATCTTGGTTTAACTTCTCATCCCTTTCTTGGAATCTAAGCGCAAGTTTTCCGCAGTGATCAGACCAGGACGAATGAGGTAGTGAAGGAAGGAGAACACTGACCACTCTTCCACCCTAACACAAGAAAGCACATGACTGGTAACAGGCTCGAAGTCTGCTCATCCTGCACACAGTTTGAAGGAAACTAACAGAAAAGTATCGTATCAGAGAAGCTCCTTGAAGGAACTGACTACTGAGCTAAGAAAATGTTTTTTGCATGGCCCAACAGTGAAACAGCGCAGAGGGTGGCAAAGAGTGAGGACGCAAGGCACGAGGGAGGTGAAGTTGGAAAAGGAAGCAGAATTGATAAGGGAAGGCCTGGAGGTGACTATGGGGAGGCCGAGAAAGGGTGAAATCGGAATGGCTTAAGGGTAGTCTCCATATTTTAAGATGATTTGTGTGGCTGTGGAGAACTGACTAGGGTAGGTGATAACAGAAACAGCAGCGGGTCAGAATCACAGTTGAGTAATTTAGAAGTAAGTGAAGGAGGCTTAACCCAGTGGCAACAGAGACACAGAACTGACATTATTAAGTCAACTTGGTGGCATGTGCTCACTTCAGCAGCACATACCCTAAAATTTCCGGGTGTGGTGTAATCCCAGCACTTAAGAAGCTGAGGCAGGCGATCCCCACAAGTTCGAGGCCAGCCAAGGCTACAGAGTTCAAGGCCACCCTGAACTACAGTGAGACCATTTCTAAAAAGACCAAAAGCAAAACAGTAACAACAAAAAACCAAAGCTTTAAGCTTTAACGGTTGGGTAACTTTTTATCATTTACTAGGGTAGGGAAAACTACTCTCCCACCTTAATACAACTAAAAAGAATAAAAACACATTTTTTAAAAGATATTAGATGTTGGACAAGCATCAAAGGGCAATGGAGTTATGCAAGGAGTACCCTGGAGGTAGTTTCTAGGCTGTGGTGTAGAAAAAGGAAAAATCACAACAGAACCAGGCAGTCTACTGAGCTACAAAGACAGATGTGAGCATTAAGGCCAGGCTGGTGAGAATTTGCACAGCAGAATACCACAGAAACTGCACATTTTCTGTGACAGCTCTGGAGATGTACAGAGGGCTCCATGGAAGTCTTAGCTGAATGCTGATGAGTACAAAGGCAGAACTAGCCAAGAAAAAGAGACACAAAACAGAAGTTCACACAGGGCTGGGAAGAGTTCATGCTCTGTAGCCAAAGAGGAGAAGCCTCAGGGAATAAACCAGCAAGTACAATACTGTATATGAAAGGTGTTGCTTCCCAGTGTAGGCAAGTAGCCCTAAACCTAGGACTCCTCTGGGCCAACTAACAGAGCTTAAAAGCAAGTCATGACAAGTAACTGCATTCCAAAATAAAGCTCACGAACACTTAACTGATTACAAAGGAACGCACACAAGACTTAACACCCAAAAATGTAAACTCCATAAATACAAAATTATTAGCATGTACAATCAGGAAAATGTGATCTCAGATAAGGAAGAAATTAAAAACCTACAAATGACTCAGATATGTTTATGACTTTGTTTACTACTGATTACAAATAGATTATGTGAAAACAAGGTAGGTTTAAAAAAAATAAGTGCATTAAGCAAAGGTATACAGCCGGGCGTGGTGGCACATGCTTGAAATCTCAGCACTCAGGAGGCTGAGGCAGGAGGATCTTTGTAAGTTCAAGACCAGCCTGAGCTCCAAAGTGAGCTCAAGGCTAGCCTGAACTGCACAGTGAGAACCTGTCTCAAAAAGACAAATAAATGGATAGATAGATAGCTAGATAGATAGATAAAAGGTGTTTTTTAGAAGACCAAAATTACACTTTTACAGATGAAAATTTCATTAGATAGGATCAGCAAATCAGTACAACAGAGTAAGCTAAAGAAGGTACAATGAAAGAAACCAAAGTTAAAAAGGAGACTAGAAAAACATCAGTGAGCAGGTTAACTTTAAGCAGCTTAATACGTATGTAAATTCAAGCTCCAGGAAGTGGGGCAAAATATAAAAAATTACTTAAAGGATGTCAGTTTTTTCCTAATATAACAATGTAAAAATATAAAACATGTAAATCCATAGATTCAAGAAGTCTAATAAACCATAAGAAAAAATAAACCATGACAAAAATTATTATAACAATATAATTGCAATAACATTATAATTTGCACAAATTCCATGGTAAAGATAACAATCTTAGGAGAAAAGGCGCAGGGTTATAGCTTAGCTGCATGGCACCTGCCTGGCAAGCATGAGGTTCCAAGTTCAATTCCCTGTACCAAAACAAAACCAAACAAACAAACAAAAACCTTAGGAGAAAAAAAGAATGATGAAAGTGAAGCAAACTTATGAAAACCCAATCCAGAAAGTACGGCTACATCTGTAACCCTAGACTATCACACCCAAAAAAGTACTTTTATATGTCAAGTTTCAGAAGGACTCAGAGTGGGCCTATGCACCTTACTAAAAAGATTCCAGGTTATCTTCAAAACAAGTTAACTAGCAGAATGAATTCTAAATGATGGAACTTAAGACACATTTCCTTTCTGACAACAATGGATTGTGCTTGAGGAAAGGAAAGCCATAATATATAATAGAAGCACCAGAAACTTCTAAGATATCAATTTAGACAGGATGTCAATTTAGACAAGAGTGGGAGCAGTGGGAATAGAATAGAGAAGCACAGATTGGTTAGAAAATATCTGGAAGATACCTGAAGACTTGGTGATTGATTGGATGTGAGGTATGAATAGTCGAGTGATTCCCAAGTTTCTAAAATGATCAACTCTACAGTGAATTTTACCAGGACAAAAAGTAAACTATACACCAGCAAATTCATAGCTGAAGAGACTCAGAAGAGTACCTACTGGAACTCACTGTGCTAACGTAGCAGATCGAAACAGAATAGCTTGATTCAGGCAAGAGAAGTAGACAAAGGCATCAGCTTTCTTCCTCAGAAATCTAAATTGAGCTCAATCTTGAATCTGAGACAGTTGCTTATGGGAAATAGTAAAACCAGGGTTCTGAAAGCCATCTGTTGAGACAGGGAAGCACCAGTGCAAAACAGTTCTTTCTAGAGTTACATTACATAATGAGCTTTTACCATTTAAAAAAGGCATACTTCCCATGTAGCATTTAGAATGCCTGCATGTTTTTGGTGATCCACTTCGATCAGCAAGCAACCTTACTTCCTGTTTCTGTCTTCAGAGTTAGGAATCTTATCAGTGCAATTTTTAAGGAACGTTTTAGTAGAAATAACAAATGTTTACTGAGGGCTTACTAAAAGTGCTGAATATTTTATACTAAGTACTAGGTTCCTTACGAGGTAATCTCAACCTTAACAACCTTATTAGGTAGTTATTACCCTTTTTTTAACAGATGAAGAAATTAAGATGCAAAGATATTAATTGGTCCCAGATTATGAAGCTAATAAGTGACAAGACCAAGAATTTGATCCCAATCTGATCTCAATCTCTAGCCTTAAAAGTTTATATTTAAGCCTCATGAATCTTTCTGCATATAGATGTGTACTACCAACATACTGATTTTAAATGAATACATGCTTTATAAGTAATAACCAGGCTTCACAAATCTTATCATTAAAATGCTCAGGCTTTTAATTTGCCTCAAGAAGTTGTTCAAAGCAGGTAACTGATCAAGAATGCTGGAGTTTTCATTAGCATATGTACATGTATGCGTACGTAATATGAGATGCTGATAAGAGAACCTACATCATGAAAGGCCTTATGGCTCGGATAATTATAGACACTGAGGACCTGAAATTGTACTAAGGATTGCATACATTAAGTTGCATGACAAGTAAAACAACATGGAAACCATGTTGTATGACAGACATAAAGTAAATACACATACACTTAAATTTCTCTGGGTAATTACTGAGGATATTATATGCATGACTCACAACTGTGCTTATTAGGCTTAACTCAAAATCAGGCTAATTAAAGATTTTTCCACAGCTGAACAGAAAATGACAGTTTAAAAAATATTTTCCCTTCAGCCAAAATAAAAAAGCCTAGAAAGTGACACTCTCCAGTAAAGTTTTTTGTTTTATTTTGAGTCAACCTAAATAGTTTGACTCTTTGATAGAGAAATCTCCAATTTCATAGACTGTAATAGAAAAGTACTGATTTCCATACTTCCAGTAAAAAGATATTTGTGTCATGCTTTGGAAATCTACCGTATTTACCCAGAAAGACTATTTCCAGAACATGTAACTGTCACAATACTAACGTGGCAAGAATAAGCTTCCTTAGAAAATTGTCCTTGTATTCCTGTAACAGTCTTTAGTCTGCTGCTATGCATACTGTTTTGATAACCAGGTTTTTCACATGCACAGCCCGTTGAGAAAGTTTCTGAGAACTCTCTGGAAGGGCTGGGAGCACCTGTGCAGGGTCATGGCAGGTGGGCTCACGCGGTCCAGGCCAGCTCCTTCCTTTGCGGTCAGCACTGATGCAGCGGGGCAGGAATCCAGGCACGTGGCTCAGTTTATGACTTAATTTTCCACAGCTAAGAAAATTCACCAAAAAGTTACTTTTAAGACAAGAAGGTAGCAGTTAAAGGTACATTCACTTACCATGAACCAAAAACTCTCTACGTAAGAAAAACAAAGAATATCATGAAGAAAAATCATTAAAAACTTCTAGGATCAAAAATGACACACTGTAGTTCCTGTGTTACTGGTTTCCATCCATTTTAATCTCTGTGTATATTTCTCTAGACCACAGAGAACCTTACCCAGCACATGCTACTAATATGAAATTCAAACCTGATTTTTTAGTCTGGTCTACTGTACTTAAGTAAAATGAGGAACAAAGCCTGTGCTCCACCAATCAAAATACCTGCTTCCTTATCGCAGGTTTCCTTGCCAGCCACACATGCACAAAACATGCAAAATGTAGAGATTATTACATACAGTAATTTTTAAGACTAAAATGTTACAGTGGTAATCACACTTACTCTTATATTAAATCCTAGAAGATCACTTATAACTCCTGAGACAGCAGAAAGAATAACTACTCTTGTGATATTGTAGATTAAGGGATTCATTGTCAGTCCATAGAGTCTAAATGGTGTGTCCAGCTCCTACAAAAACATGAAATAACTAAAATAAGACATAATTTTTCAGTTTTTCACAAGCTATTAGTAATTTCTTGCTGTTTTTAAGTTTTGGGTAAAGATGACTATTTAAGGCTCTCTTTCTTTAATATTCCAGAGCTACCTTCAAAAACTCGGTAATATATCCTGAACTACTTTTCCATGATCTTTGTTACTTTTGCAGCTCTGGGCCTCATATTGAGCAATATCCTCAGCCCTGTTTGTATTTTTTATCCAGAGAGAACAGCTTGCTAAGTTACCTATGCTGCATTCAAACTGGAGTGCCCCTGTCTCAGCCTCCTAGAGGTTGGTATTATAGAATTGCCCCACCTCATGTGGCTTGTGACCAAAGCTTTTTAAGGTGGATTGGAATAGTAGTCATTTATGGTTTTAAAAAAGTAATGTAAAAAATGTGACAGACATCAGCAGTCACCAGCACCTGAACAAGATGGAAATTTTTTTTCATGCTGGTATTGTGAATCTATATAGCCTGGTATCTACATATTATATGGGATCTTCTCTAAGAAGCAAAGCATTGATTTAATTTTTTTCTTGTACAAAAACACTACACGGACGCACATTAGAGCCTGAGTCCTCTGTGTGGAAACTCTAGTTGGGTGTGCAGGCCCTGGTCAGTGAATTCCCAATTCCAAACACTGTCTGTTCTTCCAGAGGTCAGAAATGAGACAGCTGCATGTCTAGCAACAGAATCAATGCAGCCTTGGTGAAACTGCAGGGCAGCACTAGTGCAGGTGTAACAGTGGTGGACAGCAGCACCAGTGGACACCAGCACTGGCGGCAGCTTCTGGGGCCCAGGGACCCAGACTATGCTAGTGCCTCTGGGAGCAGGGAGGAGGCCACCAACACAGAGCTGCAGCAGCCAGTCACCCTACATCACACTGGGAGGCCTGCCCAGCTGCTTCCTGCAGCACTCTCCTGCATGGAGATGGTGGCAAAGTAACCACCTTAATGGACCCTAGCATGCAGCAAGGGTACTCCAAGAATGAACATCCTGACCCACACAACCAGCATTGTCCCTGATGGTAGCACACCTGCTCTATGGACCAGAATGTGTCTGCATTTATGCAGGCAAAACGTCTTGACAAATGGCCCCATGAAAAAGCCAATGCTGACTCCTTCATGGGCAGGGGGAAAGGCAGCTCTCCTCCAGGGACTTGCTCTTCCTATGTTCAACCCAGCAGCCTGACGCAGAGATGCACAGCCACCAATGCCTCAGCCTGGTCCCAGGGAGCTGGGCAACCTTGGCTCTGACCATAGCCTTGACCCTGAAGGCCTCAGCTCTGGAGTCTCCAACAGGGCCTCCTGCCCACCTGGGCCACCATCATTTACTCTTTTCTCAAAGAAGCAGTGAATTTAATTTGCAGTAAAAGTATATGGTAAGCTATGACTTACTTTTAACAACTTGGTTGACAGCTTTAATACGTTGTTTACTAGAGTAAGTTGTTCTTTCTTATTTGGCTTTTTTTCCATCTTAAGATATAAATTAATCTAAGGGAAAGAATAGAAAGTAAGATAAATTTCATAGAAAAAGATACACAGGTACACTGCACAAATTTTAAGGGTCATGTTATTAGGTAAAATAAATTTTTAATTTCTAGCAGCTCTTCCTATAAAGATCATGTCACACCCTTAGCCCCCATCCCTAATCAACTGCTTTTAGCAAAGAAAAACTACTTAATAAAGAAAAAAATTAATGAAGCAGTTTAAACATCAAAACAATTAATTATTAAAATAGTTATAATATTAGCAACTCCTTATGCTTAAAAACTATATTTTATTCATCCTGGTATTCCCACAAAAAATCTAATATCTTCATTAAATACTTGCAAAAATAAAGAAGATAGATGCTTCTAAATTACTAATTCCTTAGTTTTTCCTTTTAAGAATCCTTCACTATGATTTTAAGGTTATTAAAAAAAGAGGGAGGGTACTTACTTAAAAGATCATGAGTAACTCAAAATTATAATCAAAGTTTTTTAAAAATCACCTTATGGACTCTAGATTTACAAGGAGCATTTCTCAGGGCCAAGTGCTGTATGTATCAATAACCATAGCACTTGAGACAGGGAGGCAGAAGAATCACAGTGAGTTTGAGGCCAGCCTGGGCCACATAGTAAATTCAAGGCCAGCCTGCACTACATAGTGAGACCCTGCTGCAAAAAGTTAAATAAGTAATATTTTTCTCAGTCGTAGTATCTATTTACAAACTGGAGAATATTTTCCAAACAAGGAAAAATGTATTCTATAGCTGATACAGAGTGAAACAAGCAAAAACAAAAGAAAAAGTCAAACTTATTACACATATTAAATAAGTACTCTAGAGATCTAATATTTGATATAGAACATAAGATTAAAAGCATGCTCCATTACCACCAATAAAAACATCCTTATTATACACGAAATATTTTCAACTCATTAGATCTTAACTCTCACAATCCCAAGGGCAGGTGGAGAGGATGTTATACCCATTTTAAGTAGTAAACAGTTACAGAATAGCACAGTGATTTATGAGGTCATATAGTTTACAGAGCAATAGCTAGACAGTGACTCAGCCCTGAGTCCTCACGTGAGAATATATTATGACGCCTTTACCCACTGAGCCAAACTGACAGGCGCAAGCAATACCTGTTCTGTAAGTAATATTGAAACATTGCTGTATTTTTTATTGGTTTCAGACCCCAGTGAGGCCAGGCGCAGTAAGAAAAGCAGTAAAGCTGTTTCCCAGATCAAAAACTCCCAGTTATAAACATCATTCAGGAAAGTTTTATGTCCCTGGAGAACCTGTCAAAAGAGCCAATAAAATTTCAGTTTAATGTGTCTTAAAAATCATATAATTACTGCGTTATTCTACCAATTGTAGAGTATTTTTAAGAATTCAGCATTTTAATATTCAAAGCAGAAGTCTTAATACTCATAAATACCATCTACTTATTTGTGTATTTCTCTAAGTTTCCTACATTTTTTTTCCTTTTCATGAAAGACAACCAGGGTTTAAAGTAACAAAAGAGGAGAACATAACACATTAAGATGAATGCATTTTCAGCTCCTGTACTTACTGCTGTCCACTCATAAGCATATGACTACTACTCAAAGCACTAACTTTGTATCATTGTTCAAAGTACTAAATTTGCAGTATCAGGTCACAAAAACATGTGGCTCCATTCACTGGTGCAACTAAAAAATCCTAAGGATCAGTTCTCTATTCTCTTTCAGAATCCAAACCAACAATAGCAGCAGCAGTGGCTACCATTTATTAGGTGCTGTGTCAAGTTTTCAGATACAAGTTTTTGTTTTTAAAACTGACATAACACTAAAGAAATTTCTTCAACAAAACCCAACCAAGGCAAGTTAAATTATTAGGAAATACACAGAGAACTGTCACAGAAGCCAGATGCCTTTGGATAACAGGAAGTTACTAAGTAGCTGTTCTTTCCAGTTCTTTTTCTTTAGCACCAGATAGGCTCCCATCACCACCACTCCTGACCAGTTCCATCCCCTCGCAAGACCCAGGCTTTCTGCTTTCTCATTAGCTTTGACTTAAGCCATCTGTGGTTTGTCAGGCACCATTTGGCCTCAGGGACTGCTCCTGGCTTGCCTTCTCCAAAATCCTGGACTGATACCACAGGTTCTTACTCTAATTTCCAAAAGAGAGAGTATGTTTAGCTCAGTTGATTAGTTATAATTAAGAGAATAAAGTAAAACTTAGTACAACACAGGCCTACCTGCTTAGAAAAGTGATATAATTTGTTGCATATAATAGATTACAATGATACAATGAAAAATTCTTAATAAGCCAGGGGAAAAGTACATATTACTTTAAAAAAAATAGCAATAAGACTAATTTGCTTCTCAAGATTCTCTAAAATATGAAATCTACAGTACTTGAACTGGCAACCTAGAATTGTATTCCCAGTACACAATACCTTTCAAAAATGAAAATGAGACATTTCAAGTAAGCCAAAACCGAGAGAACTCACCACCAGCAGATTGGCACTAAAATAAATACTAAATAAAGAAATAGAGCTTACTGCACTAAAGATTAGTGCAGTAGCATAATCACCTGCTTGGCAGGTGCAAAGTCATGAGTTTGATCCTCAGTACCAAAAAAAAAAGAAATGGAAAGAAGAAAAGAAAGAGAAAAATAATCCTGAAAAAACACAAAAATACAAGAAATAAAGGCAATGAAAAGAAAACATATGTGGGTAAATATAAATGGCTGACCACCAAAAAAAAAAAAAAATCACATCTCTGGGGATTTGGGGGGGGTACATATATGTGTGTGGTGGGGTGTATAATGAATAATAAATCAAAAGATAAAGAAGTAAATGTAATAAAGTGTTCTATGATCCTAGCATCAAGGAGGCTTTAAGTAACAAACTATACAAGTAAATCACTTTATTATACTCAATCTCTGATATTACTAAAACAGTAGCAAAACAGTGTACACAAGGTAATGGTGAGGATTAAATGGAAAGCTAAGAAATACTTGATTAATAAAAACATGACAAGAGAAAAAGTAAATTAACAAGTAGATTAATTAGGTAACAAACAGTATTTGTAGTTGCAGTAATTAAGTTTAAATGAACAAAGTTCTACAAAATACCAAGACTGGGAGGCTGGTTTAAAAAACAAGCAATCAAAAAAGGTCATGATGATTACAAGAGACATGCCTGAAACATAAGAAAATAAAAGTGTAAAGATATAAAATGCAAAAATAAAAGACAGCTGATATACTTAATAAGAAGTAGAAACATTAGAAATACAGACATTTAATAAGATCACAAAAGATGGGGAAAATGCTTATTTGTTGAGTGCCTACTAAGTTTCTTTTTCTGATAAAAGTTTTTGTGGCTTTTAACATTTTCAGACGAAAGGAGACTAGAGACAAGACAAATTCAACACATAATTCTGAAATGGATCCCATGTTCAGGGGAACACACACACACACACACACACACACACACACACACACATTCCCCCTATAAAGGACACAAAAGTCAATCCAAGACAGGAATGGAAGCACAGACATGGAATCCCAGCTACTTAGGCAGCCGAAGCATGAGTCGGAAGTTTGAGACCAGCATAGATAACTTAGCAAGACTGTGTCTCAAAATACAATAAAAAGGGCTAATGGTACAGCATTTGTCTAACATGTGTAAGGCCATAAAACAAAACAAAAAACAGCTCCAAAAAGAAAAATACCAATCCCAAATATGGATGTACCACATAGTCCAATGTACATAAAGCAAAAACTGAAATAAGTAAAAGGGAAAATAATAAATTCAGAATCACATACCCTTGAACATACCCTTACTGATGGCTGACAATAGACCCAAAAGTAAGTGAGGATATCGGTAGTTTCAGTAACATAACTAATAAACATGGATTAATGAGTTTACAGAGAATACTGCACTCAACAATGACAAGAACACAAATCCTTCCGAAGTGCTCATGGAAGATCTAATAAAACTAAATATATGCTGTATAATAAAGGGAGCCTAGACATAGCTCCAAAAACTGAAAAGTCAGAGTATATTTTCTGACCACAGCAAAATTGAGCTAAACCCAATAAATGGGAAAGAACAAGAGAAGCCTGTGACTCCTTGTAATGAAAGAACAAAAAGGCTTAAGTCAGGAGAACATGTCAAATGGACACAGGAAGTGGCTTGAGGGGCTCCCAGTGGTCAAATCTACTATACAAACGGATTATAACGCATGGATAAAAAATAACAATACATGATCCACAGTGTAACAAATGAATGAAAAATAAAGGGCTACCTTAGAATGACAACTAACCTAGACGGAATGAAGTAGTTAGAAAAAAAATATTTTGCAATATCATGGTCTGACAGCCTTATCAGTCAAAAATTACTAACTGAAACTAAATTAGAATGCTACTAAACTCTTAAAGAATTTCTAATTTATCTATATTCTTATTTTAAGTTAGAAAAATTAACAAGTATTCAAAATAGCAAAAGCAGCCAGGTGTGGTGGCACACGCCTGTAATCCCAGCATTCAGGAGGCGGAAAAGGAGGATCATGGTGAGTGCGAGACCAGCCTGGGCTACAAAGTGAGCTCAAGGCCAGCCTGAACTGCATACCGAGACCTTGTCTCAAAAAAAGACCAAAAATAGAAAACAAAATAGCAAAAGAAACATTTTAAATAGCAAACAATATTTTAAATAGAAAACAAACTAGCAAAAGACATATTTTAAAATTTATACTTAGATATACTAATTACCTGCCCAGGAAGTTAACCCTGGAAGAGAATTTCCACTGAGACACACATGCAACTTTTACCTGGGCACAACAAATGAAAGCAATTGAAAGTGTCAGTAAGAAGACTGAAGATACAACCACGTCAACTGATCGCTGTGGACCTCGTCTCTGCAGAGAGACACAGATGTTAACATTCTAGTTATACCGTCAGAGATAGCAACAGCCCTCACATCATTAAACTCTGAATTTTACTACATTAATGTAAAAATAGATGTTTACAGTTTCAGACACGGAATTTAGACATATTTCCGGCATTAGCAACCTGCAGCACTGAAATTCATGCCCTTCCAAACTGAGAAGTTTACTCATTATGTATTTTCAGCTACATTATTATCTAAAAGTCAAAAAATGTAATACTTATTGCTCTGCCCTATGAAATTTAAATTTTTTCTAAGTATTTTTAAAACTCCCTGCCAGTTTTGCAGATATATCACATCCAATATGGTGCCTACAAGTCTATCAGCCACTGATGTAATCTCCACTACCTAGAACCACCCTGCCCAGTGGGTAATCAAACTGTTACAATCTTAATGAGTACACTCTCTACATAGTGTCAATCATATAAAACTCACCTTTAGGTAGGAACGCAGTGACAGCCATATTTTAATGTTCTCTACCTTTTTAAGTCTGAAATGAGGTATTTCATATTTCTTTGCTTTTCTGGCAGAAGTAATATGACTGAAGAGTTTTGCAAATAAAAATCTCTAAAGAAGGTTAAAAAATCACAACGAGAAAAAAATATGTTAGTCTTTGTGTTCATACAACTTATCAACAGTATCCCTAGGATTTTCTAAATGTTAAAAAAAATGAAATTCTTATCAGTAATCACTAAGATGGACAGTGAAAACAATCTGTTAACATCTCATTACCCCACTGCTTCCAAAGCACATGATATGATATCATACTCTTGACAGTTGTACGGAATACACTTTGGATACTTTTTGTGAATCCTCAATTGCACAAACTCAAATGTTTACACATGATTCTTCTAGCTTAGTTTCGAATTACTTTTCCATACAAAATCACATTTCTTATGCATATCACGAATATAAATATATTGAGTCATCAATCTAGAACTCATCAAATTTTAATAAATTTCTCACGACCCACCCCCCAAGTCATTTATGTAACTAGGCTGGCCTCAAATTTGTGATCCTTCTTTTGCCTCAGTCTCCTAGGCTTAGCTCTTTTTTTCACAAAAACATTATCATTTTGAGGCCTGCTACATATGATACGAATAAAAACCTAAGGCCACACTGAGGTACAGATACTCAGCATTAGTTACCTACTTAGGTAACTAAACAGGTTATTTCCATACACGGGGTTCAGCAAAATTTCAGATTACAACATATTACTTGTAAATAGAATGTAACACAAATGTTAAGCCCACAAATACCAAAATCAAGAGAACAAAAGCAACTCAATGGGATAGCATAAAAAAAAATTTACTTATTTGTCCACTGACCTGTTTATACGTTCTCTCTGCCACACACATCATAAAAAAAAACATCCAAGTAAGACATAATCTTTCAAAAAAATTAATTATAGACAAAATAATAATAGGTGTAACAGGTGGGGCCCCACAAAACAGAGTCAAGATCTCCTCAGCAGAAATGGACTTTAGCTGGTCAAAGCTCTTCTCTCGGAAAAGTCGATGTAAAAAAGGAAAAAATGCTAATCCAATGGTGACAACATTTCCCAGCATCTGATAACCTACTCCTTGCTGGTATGCATTGACCTGGGAATTAATTTAAAATTTCCAGAATTAAAATTATTGCACAATGGAGATATGAGAATGCTATTTAAAATATTAAGAACACATTTTAAATAAAGTAAAAATAAAAATGACACGCAAGTTTGAGCTGAGGCTATGTGTCTGTGATAAGTATATCCTCAGTATGCACAGGGTCATACCTTCAATCCCCAACCTCAAGGGAGGAAAAAATACCTACAGACTTCTGATTTATTACAGACCATGCCCAACTAAGGTAAAGAATATTTATACCTGAACAAGATCTGCTAACAGACCATGTGCAGCAAATTTAAAAAAAAACCTACTGCCAAATAAAGACTGTGGCTAAAAAATTTTAAACATATGTCTGTGTTTCAAAAACAGAATTGTAAGACTAGGAATGTAGCTCAGGGGTAGGAATGATTACTTAGCATGAGCAAGGCCCTGAATTTGATTCCTGGCTCTGCACAAAAAAAAAAGCACAGTCAATATTGTTTTAATCACCGAGTACATTGTTACATAGTAACTCCTGATCATTAACTGTATTTGTTTTTAAATCTGGAACTTATTAGATCTTACCCTGCTCATGATGATACCACTTATTTCCAATACAGACATGTCCATCTTTTTGCATTCATTTCCTTCCCAGATTATTGCACTAACTCGATCAGAGGCAGGACTTGAGTTCTGAAGCCAGAATAAATGGTTCTGGAGAGAAAAATATAAAGCTGCTTTACCCACTCCTTCCTTCCTCCCTCCATTAGCTTTCCCCTTTCTCTTTTGTCCGGCTCCCAGGCTGTATCAGCCAATGTTCAGTTTCATCAATTTATTCTCTCATACAAAGCTCATCATTGCAGAACCATTTCTATGATACCGATTTCAAGTCCTTTATTTTTTACCGTGACATTTGCTTACCTGGAAAGAGGCTGAATGTCTTCTAGAATGAGGAGTGGCAGCATTCCATAATGTCTGCAGTTGCTTACCTCTTTAAAGCCATAGAAGTAAGAATAAGATTAACATATTCACAGGCTACTAAGGAAGAAAGTATTTCAGGAGCAACAAGATTTCACTGAGAGTACAGTAAGCCTCCAACTTATTAACACTCAAGTTACGAATTTCCCCATATTCCAACGACCTTGCATTATGAACATTCGTAGATGTGAACAAATCGCAGAAGTACCTCACGTGTCTGCCGGACATTGTTACAGCTGTGTTGCTTGCTGTGTGCTTACTGTGCTCAATCAGAGCCCAGGATGTCCAGAAACAAGAGGAAAAGCTGTGGAGACATGGAGGGGACTGCTAGGAAGCATAAAACAATGCACATTGTGTATTGGCGGAAAAGGTGTGTGAGACTCACTTTGTGGGAGTTACAAACCAATTGGACTTATGAACATCCTGCTGCAATGGGACTTGTTCCCAAGTTGGGGGCTTAATGAGTAGAAAATAAATAGGAGAGGTGCAGAGGCCGGACAAACCACAAGAATGAGGAGCTAAGTCTTGCCCTGGCCCAACAAGAGCACAGAAAAACTGCTGCTCAAACTCAGAGGAGAAGTCACAGGGAAAGCAGCCCCATCCTCCGCTGCCACAGCAGGACATCTTACTCCCCAAGTGGCAGCAAGTGCCGTTTCCCAGACATGGTGCTCTTAACAGCCACACACCTCACAAATTTTGTCCTTCTCTGAAATTAAAAACCCTGTGTCATCAGACAAATTAGCATCTATTTATATGGTGCATTTATTGTGTCCTCTACTTATTTCCTATATAATCACTGTTTTTTTTTTTTTTAAATTGGTACTGGGTATCAAACTCCAAACTGCGCACTTGCAAGACAGGCACTTCTGCCACTGAGCTAAATCCCCAGCCCCTATAATCATTGTTAAAATGTAAGTTTATAGAAAAGGATCATGTGTTATATTTCTTTGCTTTCCACCACAATATTCAGCATAATGCTCATGAACATTTATTGATTTTGTTCACTGGTTCACTGACTTAACAAATATTTATGAAGCACCTACCAAGTAATATATAACATATGACATGTTACTATGTAACAGATACAATGGATAACAGTATGCACATTGTTATTATCAAGGCGCTTAGACTTCTAAAGAAGACATAAATAAAAATCCTTTACAGCATGTAAGCAAAGAAGAGTGCTTTAGCTATGCATAGAATACGTTTTCTGAAAGAAATAAATTACTCCAGCAAAGGCTTGCCTTAAATATAAAAAGAAGTGAGCCACAGGACGAATATTAGAGAACAGTATGTGTAAAGGACCAGAGGCACAATAGACAAAAACAAAAAAGAAAGGAAGGGAAGAAAGGAACTCAGGGTTCAGTTGAGTCAAAGTACACCAGGGAAAGAGCAGAGAGGTAATGGTCAGAGACATGATTCCATTAGAGCAAATAAAGCCACAGAAGCAAATAACCCATAAAAAAGGGAAAAAAGACTTTAAGGACATGGCATTATCAGATTTGAATTCTGGAAATATCACTCTGGCTGTAATGAGAAATTGAAAGGAAAACAGGTGAACCCAAAGAAGCTGCTCTAACCACCTCGACGAGGCTGATGAGTTGTTAATGGAGGCCAGCACCACGCACAGTGGATGACGGAGGTGGCCACATTTGTGGTGACAGACAGTGGAGACAGAATAGCGACAAGCTGAGGCTTGGGAAAAACTGGGAAATGATGAGTTCCACTCGCATGGTGAGTATATTTGCCTTAATTATTCTTAGATCTGTCTCAAAAGTGTCTCAAAGTACCAAGGAGCTCAAGATCATGGTGATGTTATGCACAACTAAGGGCCTTCATCATTTGAAAGACTCTTCAGAGTGAATATAAAGAATATACTGATTCAAAATTTGTTTTGAGGGGCTGGAAATTTAGCTCAGCAGCATAAGCACCTGCTTGGCAAGCACGAGGTCGCGAGTTCAATCCCTGGTACCAAAAAAAAATTTTTTGAGTCAAACTTCGATAGTAAAATTGGAGAAAGCATAAAACTTTAATGAGAAAATGTATTGTTGGTTTTTAAAAAAAATCATACAGATTTAATGAAATGGGGTTTCTTCCCAATAAAATATATAATTTAATTATAGCTTAGAATCAAGAAAATGCACGAATTAAACAAATCATTATTATTTACAAGGTAATATAAACATATTTAAGCTAAAAACCAAAGAAATGAAGACTCGTGACTATTGTCATCAGACATCTAAAAAGCTGACAGTATGAACCATTTCCTAACTATTCGGTCTATCCAGTAGTAGCATCAGCCACAGGACCCAGTAAGCACTCCACTCCACAAACATTCCAGCCCCCAAGCTGAGAGAGACTGTTCTTCAGATAATGGAGAAACCGTGTACTGGGCCAACCACTTAATATTAGCTATTTCACAATATTCCTCAGAAGAGCTATGATTACTATGTGGCACATGGTAAATTTTATAGATATGGAATGAATGCCTAAATTGGCTCTGAAAGCTAAAATACCTTCTAAAATACCTTCGACTTTCTAATTCTAGACTATATGATTTTATATTAAAATCATATTGAAATTTAATCAAGCACCCCTTGATTTAAAGATCCTGGAGAAGTAAGCAAAGTCATCTTCTAGAAATTTATACTACAATGTTTGTGGAAAAATAAGGTAGATGTACCAATCAAACAAGCCTGCTCATACAAAACAAACAATAAAGATCACTCTCACAGGTGGGTGTGGTGGAACATGCCTCCACTTCCAGCACTCCAGAGTGCTGGGGGCTAAGGCAGGAAGATCCCAAGTCCAAGCCCAGTCTATGCAATTCAGTGATTTAGCAAGACCCTGTCTAAAATAAAAATTTAAAAATAAGCTAAGAATGTAGCTTAGTGCCAAGGCCCTGAATTCAATCTCTATTACTGAGGGGGAAAAAATCACTCTCATTAGTTTCAACAGGAAAAAGTATCAGGAAGAAAAGTTTAGATCAGGCCAGTTGTACAATATTCCTGAGTTCTCACCCAAACATCTTCACTTACAAGCTATGCTCAATTGCCCATCTCTAAATTAGGAATAATGATATTTTTATAAGAGTACTGCAAAGTTAAATGAGATAATACAGAGCATAACGTGAGTACATAATATGTATTAGCTGTTTTGATCATTTCCTTCACAGACCTGCTGGAAAACATCTTCTTTGGGGTCACGTTTGGCCCCTGAATGTAGGGTATTCACATGGGCCCCCTCACTGTCGCTGGTGACAGACGACCGGCACTCTGGGCCATGGAGCAGGTCATCCCATAACATATCCTCAGTCTCCGAGTCATGGCGAGTGCTTTCTGAGTCTCTTCTTGACATGTTGAGGCTTCGAGAGCCACCACTCATGCCAGATCTAGAGCCCTTTAAAGGAAAATCTTAAATTGTTTTTCATTCATCTTTAATTATATATCTGAAATAAAATTAAAACAAGTTATCTATAGCAATGACTAGCAAAAGGGTCACAAGTTGAACACCATGTTGTCATTTACTCACAGGTTTCATATCATACTACACTTTAATATTTAAATGTTAAACTCTGATGACCCTAGCAAGCAAGACTTTAAAATTATTCCCTCTAGAATGATTTCTAGCATAAAATTAATGGTTTTATGTGTTCCAATAAAGAATAAAATAAAATAATTCCCTCTAAGACATTATCACCAAGCCATGGGGTTGTTCTACTCTGTGTTCTGATATGGGAACAATTCCTATAAGCACATCCAGAGCTTTGACTCAGTTAGCTTGGCTGAGCCATTTGAAACACAGTGTCCCCTACTTAAACGGCATAATCCTGACTCCAGATCTAGTGAGGAGCAAGGCCCAGCATCATGTTAAAGGATAATCAGCAAACAGAAGCACAGACAATGCAGTTCCCCTGCAGTACAGACATAAATGTCAAAGTTTTTCCATGACTCCAACTGCCTTGTCAATCAAACAAAATTAAACCACATCACCATCTACTCTGCTCACCTCTGAATTACATTTCAGATTTACCCCCTTAGCTTTTAAGATGAGATACTGTGACTGCTTCCACTTTCAAAGGTCCCCTCTCAGTGATATCCACCCCACTTATGATATTTAAACTCCATACGCCAAGTGAACACTAAGTAACCACATCACCTCTGAGCATCACCTATAATACTTTCATGATTAAAATCAAACTAAAAAGAATTTGCTCTGTTTCTAAGTGTAAGAAATCATCTAAAAGCTGCTAAGTAGACAGATAAATGGAGATAAGGGAAGTGTAAGCCTATGTTAGGTAACCAAGAATGGATGAAATTATTATACTCTAGAATACACACTGCCAGGAATTTAGTGGCAGAAGCACCTACCTGGCAACTGAAAGGTCATGAGTTTGATCGCTGGTACCAAAAAAAAAAAAAGGAATACACATTGAACAGTGATCTCTCTCAGGATTCTTTACCTGGCTGAAGGCTGCTGATTCAAATTCCGATTCAGCCACGCTATCTGAGTCCCGTACTATATGACACCACCTTGTAGAGGTTTTCTTTACCTGCCAAAAATCAAACCAAGAAACAATATGAAGACATGTTAAGTACCTTATTACTACTGAATAAATTAAATAATTTAAGTCAAATCACTGTATGATTCACCTTTTATAAACTGAAACAAAAATTACCTGAGAGTTGAGGTGCCTTGAAAGTATTGATTTTCTATTCTTCATTTCACAGCTATTGTCACTTGAGGCCCCTTCCACACTCCTTCGCAACAATATCATCTGTGTCCGGGCCTCGCCATCTTCCTCGCTCGACAGATCATCTGAAACCCCATTACCTACACGCCTGTAGGCCTCCTACAAAGAGAATAGCAATACCTTCACAGGGACACCCCAAAATACCCTAGTAAACTGCATATGTAAAAGCTTAAAAAAATCAAACAAAAGCTACCAAGCTAAAACTAAGCAAACCTACATGTTACTTGATCTCAATATTCAAAATTCAAAATTAAGGAAAATAAGAATCTGAAGCTAAAACAGACTCCATTCAAACTCTATGCCAAAATTACGACTCCTCTACTTTCTAGCTATATAACTTTGAGAAATTTACTAAATCTCTGTGGGGCTCAGTTTCATCTGAAAAGTACTGATAATAAAAACACCTATCTCATGAAAAAGATGTGGTATTTTTATACAATGGAATATTACTCAACTATAAAAAGGGATGATCTTGGGGCTGGGGATTTAGCTCAACGGCATAAGGGCCTGTCTTGCAAGCAGACAGTTGTGAGTTCGGTCCCCGGTATCAATTAAAAGGAAATAGAGGCAACTTGAGACTATCCTCATACGTGAAATAAATCAGACTCACTTTTTTTTGTTTTGTTTTATTTTGTTTTTTTCCTTTTTATCGGTACCGGGGATCGAACTCACGACTGCCTGCTTGCAAGGCAGGTGCTTATGCCGCTGACTCACATTTTAAATATTATATTGCTTCTCTAGTATAAAAAAATAAAACTTAAAGAATAATGAGATCCAAAAGGTATAATTGATATTGTAATAATGAAAGGGAAAGAAAGTACTCTAAAGAATATAATTACATGTATGTTTAAGTGTGCAAGATAGATAACCATACTACTAAGTTTTTGTTAGCTCAAACAGAATAGTCTGTACTGTCATTGCTTGATTATCTACTTTTTATGCTTTGATTTTGTGACTTGAGCAACTACTTCTAAGATAACAATATGTAATTTATCAACTAGTGACTTTTTACTTTTTTTTGAAATTCTGTATTATTTCTACCCTTTTTTTCTGTTTTGCTTTTTTTCTCTAAATAAAAAAAATTTTAAAAACACCTATCTCACAAGGTTGTGGAAAAAAGGAAGTTTGTGTGAGTAAAGCACTTAAAACAGAATCAGTAAAAGCTCGATGATACTAGACTGAAAGCTATAGTCTAATGAACAAGAAAACAGTTCAAGAATGTAAAATAAAAGTTAGCTTGAGACCACAGAATAGAGCATCTCCACCTAAACTCAGAAAACATTTTCCCAACCCCTTAATATACTACCACACCTTCTCTGGAATAAGACACTAATCTGTTCATAGCTTGGGAGACTGGATTAACAGCACATTAACAAGTTCTAGTCATAGGTGTCTTAAGAATAAGTTCCAGCTTCCACATGATACTTTCTTTTTCATAACCTGTGGTTTTACTTATTAAGACAAATTTGTATCACATTAGTATTGGTTTTATATCTCTAGCAAAGTCTAAGGATAGACAAATTCTACATATGAAGCAAAAGATTTTGTAATACCCATCTAAATCTTACCCTACGGCACTTTTCTCCATCCGAAAATTTTGCTTTCTCTCTTGTTTGCCACATTCTAAAATCTGGCCGAGACTGCCTCTTCTTAATGATAGGATGGAGACAATTTGAATCATTGTCAGTTTCAGTTCCTTTGTCAGTTAGTAATTTTACCTTTTTATTCCTATTTTCAAAAAAGAAAGAAAAGGTTACTAACTACTTTTCAGAGGATAACATCTTCGTGAAATCACTTTCTTCTAAGAAGCCCAATATATTATTCTGGAAATCAAGAAAAATCAGAAATTACATTTTTTTAGGCCTAGTCTAAGTCGCTAAGGGAATTGGAGAGAATAGTCAACCAGGGAGACTCAGAGAATGTGAATCTATTCATGTCTACCAAGAAGCAGCACTGCTTTGTAGTTTTGTAAGGAAACAGTAACAGTCCTACCTGCTTCTCCTCCCAAACTCAGTGGCAACGCCTACTTTGCAGTGCCCCTTAAAGCCGCGTGACAGCGCGTCTCACTTCTGTCCATCCTTGTGAACGATGGCCATGCTGCAAAGCACAACTCTCGACTCCTCTATCATTCCTGCCAGCTACTTTCCCACAGGATATCCTTCATTTGCTAAATGACATGGCCATGTAATCATTCATAATATTTTTACTGCTGTGACTGTCCTACACCGGCTGCCCTCATCTTCCTGTCCTAACTGAAAAATCATTCAGGACAGCAACTCACCATTCCCAGCACAAAGAACTTCAACACTTCAACCAAAAGATATAAATTTATCTTTGGAAAAATAAGTGAACACACTTCATCTTCAAAAGTAACTGCAGGGCCAGGGATATAGCTCAGCTGCACAGCGCCTTGCTGGCAAGCAGGAGGTCATGAGTTCGAGTCCCAGTACCATAAAAAAGGAACCGCAAAATTTTATTTTTAAGCTGCCATCATGAACATAAACAAAACAAACATTTGAGTCATATTAGTGCTGCCAAAACCTGTAACATTACAAAGTAAAATTTTCCCTTGATCCATTTGTCTTTCCATCTAGGAGTCCATCAATACCAGGCCCCTGTGCTGCATCACATTCCTAACGATACCCTGGTACTCACGTTACCATATGGTTGAACTTTCTAAAGTTCTTTCCATCAAGATGTTAGCTGATAAGGCTTAAAATATTTACCCTTTGAGACCATGTTTTTGCAATCTTGAATCTAAAAACCATTAAAATCAAACAGAATGAAACTTTAATGGTTAATTACTAGATTTACAAGGTAACTTGAAAGTGGAGGATCTGGAGTAAGCAAATCTTTTTAGAACCCTTAAAAATCACAACACAATGAGAACACGCCTATGCTACTCATTCCTGTGGTTCAATCGTATCATAAACCCTTGTAAACGCTGATGTGAATACAACATCAAGTAAATATTCCAATATAAAATTCCCACCTGTTGCCAAAGAGAGTCCCCCAAAAACCACCAACAATGGGTGCAGATTCCAAATTTTCTATTCCTCGGACTTTATCAGAAGTGTTATTACTTCCATTTTCTCGGCTCCCATCACCATTTACAGTTTTTCGTAATTTTCTACAAAAAAGTTCATAAACTTCAGATTATTTAAGACCTTTTCTGTTTTGCCCATATTCCTACAGAAAATTATACCAACAGATATTCCCTGTAATCAAGAACAGTTAACTTCGCATACTGAGGATAAGTTATACAAGAAAATTTCTGAATTTGGGACACAGAGATTCTAAATGGAAATCCTATGCCATCATTTTACTCAGTCACTAAAGATACAGAATTTCTAACCAGAAACATACTAGAAAAAAAATGTCATCTGTGTGACCAACAGTCTTTTTAGGCACACTCAACACCACTAGCACAAGCCATTTACTTAACTACAGACATTAGAATGCTACCCCTTCGGCATATTTATTCAGGCAACACAAAATAAAAGCAGCTGTCATTTTTATTGATGTCCTATGCACTTAAATGCTGTATCTCAAAAATATCAATGAGTCCTGCACAGCACTTATTTCCTCAAAAAATACTAAATCAATCTAACCGGGTTACAAGGAATCTTTTCAAAAAAATATTTTGAAAACTGGGGCTGGGGTACAGCTAAGTGGTAGAGCACTGGTCTGGCATGCAGAAGCCCTGGACTCAATTCCAACACCACAAAAAGAAAAGAGAGAGAATCTATTGAAATTCATTACATCAAATGGAAAAATTTTAGTTATTGGTTAAGGAACCAAAATTAGATATTTTGAAAAAATATAACTTTTGGAAGATAATACAGAGTACTTCAAAGAAATATCAAATAATAAAATTTCACACAAATTTTAATTTGTTAGAGTCAAACTGACTTTGATTAAAAGTTTAGACTACTTACATATCAATTACACATTTTTGGAAAAAGGTAAAATTCTGGTAGCACTAATCCAAGGTACCAAGATCCTTTTGGGTAATGAATTGTCAAAAAAGTTTGATTAAAAGCCTGAATTTTAAAGAAAAATTTTTCTTCTTCTGGCAGTGCTTAAAATTGGAAACCAGAACCTTACACATGCTGTACAAGTGCTTTACCACTGACCTACAATCTCCAGCCCAGCAATGCATTTTAAAAAGCATTACTTAAAATAAAATTTAAAGAATAATATAGGGATTTTCCTTTGAAGAAACTGCACTGAATAACAAAATCTCACCTGCGATTAAAAGCTTAACACTTTTTAGTATTAAGGAAAAAAGCATTTTAAGTTAAAAAAAAGTGAAGAATATACAAAGAGGAAGATTTTAAATTAATCAAAGATTATACAAATCTCTTTAATACCACTTCCAGAAAATACAAAACTAAGATACAGTTTTTTATCTTACCTTCTTCTCCGATTGCCATTGCTTCCTGATGGCCTTGTTATCTGAGTAGATACAATCTGACAGTGGACGGTTCCCATGAGTAGCATAAGGCACAAGGGTCCAAGTATTTCACTTACATTCACAAGAGGCATCATAAGATATAACACAATCGCTATAACTGGGAAAGATGTTTTAAAATAGAAAGCATTACAGTTCATCTTTAAAATTAATTCTAGTAACTAATACTAGGCATCATAAGATATAACACAATCGCTATAACTGGGAAAGATGTTTTAAAATAGAAAGCATTACAGTTCATCTTTAAAATTAATTCTAGTAACTAATACAAATTATTTCTACAACCTGTCATTTTACAAAGAACTTAAAATAAATCATGTCCTAGGATACCATCCACTTGCATGTTAGCTGAGTAAAAATCTAAAGCCACGGACTGACAAGTCAGTGAACGATAACAAGTTAAAAATACTTGCCTTTCTGGCAGCCTGATAATCTAAATATCACTACAGGGTTATCATCACAAAACTATTGTAGATGCTGCTGTTTGTTGTGAATTGCTGTTCCAGTCAGAGGCAGGGTGTTTTCTAAGACTCACTGTGCATACAAAGGAACCAGCAAAGCTGGAATTTGAGCCCAGGCATTCAGGCTCCAGCAGTCTCATCTGAACTAGCGTGATACAATGCTGCTTTGAATGTTTACGAAATGTTCAAATAATCAAATGATGCAAAGTATGAAAACTATCAGGAACTATCTCCAAAATTTGCTATTTGTAACTGTATAGATATATTCTTTCAAAATTTAACACAGTGATAATCTTTGAGCTATATAAACTCAAGAATTAGTTAACAAATAGAAAGAAACCTAGCACTAACCCAACATAACAAGATCCTTGGGTGAATCTTCAACAAATTTTCTTTAAGGATGAATTTCAAAGAGAAGGCTTTTTTTTTTTCGTACTGGAGACCAAACCCAGGACTCCAACACAACTATGAAATCCCAAGAAATAACAGTACCAGAACATATAAACTACATTTTGTTGATTTGTGAATGTGGATATAAATTCATCACTAAAAATGTAAGCATCCTGAAGGCAGAAGCTTTTGTCTGCTTTGTTTACTGATAAGCCTACATCAGCACTTGATACACAGTAAGCACTCGTTGAATGAGTGGTAGAAATTCAGTCTTAACAAAATGTGTCTGACAATACAGCAAAAGAACTCACTAAGAACATGAAGGGTTTATACTAGAAATACAAAAATAGTTTAAAGTAGAAAATCTATCCAAACCATTCCAGAAGGTGACTGGGCTCTGCACACATGAACCAGATGAGTGAGTGCCCTCATAAAAGACTTCCTTAGGTCAGGCGAGGCCATAGCAGGGAGACTGCCATCTAAACAAGCAGATCCTCACCAAACACTAGCTGTGCTACTGCCTTGATCCTGGACTTTCCAGTCTCCAGAAGTGTGGGAAACAAATTTCAATTATTTATTAGTCACCATGTCCATGGTATTTTTGTTATAACTTCCCAAACGGACTAAGAGATTGGTACAGAAAAATGCAGGGAGTTGCTGTAACAAATAATTAAATGTATACAAGCAGCTACAGAGCTGAGTAATGAACGGATAGTCTAACAGGAAAGTTTTGAGGAGCAGATCCGAAAGCCTAGATCTCTCCAGAACAAGTTTCTAAAGGAGATGCTTAGGGATCAGAAGGAAAAAGAGTTATAAAGAAAGCTTCATGTCTATAATCCCATTTCCTTGGAAGAATCACAAGTTCAAGGCCAACTTGGGAACTTTAGCAAGACCTTTTATCACAATAAAAAATAAAATGCAAGGGCTGGGGATTTAGCTCAGCGGCACAAGCACCTGCTTTGCAAGTGCACAGTCGGGAGTTCAATCCCCGGTACCAAAATAAAATAAAATGCAAGGACCTGAGTTTACCATCAAAAATATTTAAAAAGCAAGATATGGTGGTACACTTCCGTAATCCCAGCGAGTTAAGAGGTTGGGGCAGCAGGATAGCAAGTTCAAGTCCATCCTGGGAAACCAACTTAGCAACTTAGTGTGAACTGTCTTAAAATAAAAAATAAAAAGAGCTGGGGAGGTAGCTCAGTACAAAGGCTCTAGGTTCAATTTCAGTACCACAAAAAAAGTGAAGAAGGAAAAGGGTACTGGAGAACCCAAGAGGTGGAGGAAGAAGAGGAAGACAGAATGGAGGAAAAAGAAAGAGCAGATGAGGAAGAGGAGGAGAGAAGAGAGGATGGGAAAGGAAGAAAGAGAAAAGAAACATTTCAATCTTTTCAGAAATATGGGGTTAAGGCCACTCCAATGAAGTCTTAGACAGAAATGAAAAATAACAAGTTATTGGGAACTAGAGAAAAGTTTATAGAGTGGCAAAGAACTTGGCTGAATTGTATCTAGTGTTATATGCAAGACAGAATCATTCAGACCTTTGATCTTAAGACTTCTCAGACTCCAGAACTATGAGAAATAAATCTGTATTGTTCATAGAACATCCAGTCTATGATATTTTCATATAAATATAAGTGATATAAATTATGGTGGTATAAATTATGGTGTTCTTATATAATAGAATATGAAGCAGCTATGAAGAAGTATTCATGGTAAATCCACACGACAGACTGACTTCCAGACTGACTCCCAAAACAGTAAGTTCTACATAATAGTCTGCCTATATGATGGATTGTTATATAGTCACTGAGTTATGAAAATGATTAAAATATAATTAAAAATTCGGCAGCTGCTGCACTGGACAACATAAACATGAAACATTTCCATTATCACAGAACTTCCACTAGACAGCACTATCACAAGTTTAAAAACATTAAACTGATGGAATTCATACATACATTTTTAACTCTGCAACTTGAAGTTTTTTAAAACAAGATTAAAAACTCACCTATAATTCTTTCACCTTACACCCACCTCCTCTTTATTCTAATTCATGACTTTGTATAGGGATGTAACTGTAATACCTACTCCCCACTCTCTGATAATGTCTGTCAGTCTGTCAGGCAGTAGAGACGCAGTGGAAAGGAAATGCACTGGGTCCCTGCGCAGTGAGAAGAGAAAAAAACACTTCAGGTAGTGCTGCACAATGCTGACAGTAAAATTGCCTCACCTAGCAGTGAGTGGATTGGCAGGGCTAGGTGTAAATACAGACAGAGATGGCCTATCTATCAAAGTGACACTAAGCTGAGATCTTACATTTGCGAAAAAACAAGCTACTTCAAAATCCTTATGAATGTTTCAAAAGAAAGAAAACTCTGCATGAAAAACCTAAAGAAAGGCAGTATACCTGGAGTAAGCAGGGAGGTGGACAATCAAGAAATGCCAAGAGATTATGTCTGACAGGAAGAGGGAACAATTATGTAGGACATTACAAGCCACAGGAAGGACTTTAGATATTTATTCTTTTTTCTTTCTTTTTTTTTAGGAAGAATAATTACTTAATAAAGTTCCCATTTTAAAGAGTTTCTTTTTTTTTTGGTCTTTTTCCTTTTTATCGGTACCAGGGATCGAACTCATGACTGCCTGCTTGCAAGGTAGGCACTTATGCCACTGAGCTAAATCCCCAGCCCCCTTAAAGAGTTTTTCTAAATGTTGTGAGAAAAACAGTGGGTAGAAAGGGTAAGCAGATACTACTTCAGTGGCCTGGGCTGTGCTGGGTGCAGCAGAGAGAGACACAGAGTTCAGGATCTGGGGCAGAACTTAAAGACAGGGCAGCAGGCTGGATGTAAGAATTATGGTAGGATACAGTAGTATGTAAGAATTATGGTAGGATACAGTAGAAAGACTTATTTTTCACTTGAAAATGGATACTGGATGAAATCATTTAATGAAATGGAAAAGATCCAAGCGAAATAAATCTATACAAAAAATTGATATAATTAAGATGACTTTTGATATGATTAAGTTCAAGACACCTACTAAGTCTCCATATATGATTGTCGAGCAACAGTTAAGATTTACAAGTCCAAGGTACGGTGGAGAAATCTGGCCTGAAGTTACAAAATTTGGGAATTGCCAACAATTGTGAATTATGTTTTTTAAATGGGGCTTGCTAAGAATACTTGAAGAATAGAAGAGAACCCAGGATTCAATCCTGAGGTAATTCAATGTGCAAAGATTAGGCAGAAGACAACACTGACTAGGCCCAGGACAAAGACAGAAAGAAGCCAGACAGGAATAGAGGTTCATAGTTGCTCCCCTGGAGCAAACAGTGCACAGTCTTCCATTTCTTTATACTTCAAATCATTAAAAGAAAGGGTAAATTTAAGAACAGGTATTCATTATCTGAAAACAAAAGCAGCAAAATGAAACTGTCACACTTTGCACCAACTCTTTAAATTACCTTGCATGAGGTAAAGCAGTAGCAGCCAAACAAAGATTCTTAAAGAGGTAACCTGAATCCACCAATTGCTGAACAATGGAAAAAAAACAACTCGAACAAGTCCCTTCCGAGTCAGAGATGTCCAGGGAATTTCAGGTTTGGCTTTGGCAAATGTTGAGCCTTTAAACACAAGAAAACAAAATAAGGCACCTGTGCATACGCTATACTGATAGCCACTTGCAGTATTACCTTAAAAACAAGTGAGAGCAAAGATGAGCATGTGACTTGTGCAGTTACAAAAAACTCTTTTAGATGGGCATTAAACAAAAACTTCTTGTCTCAGTCCTGGGACAGGAGCTCAAAATCAGTCAGGCTCATAACATATTTTTCTAAATTATAAAAGTCTCCAAGTTCATTTCCCTTTCCCATTATATGAAAACCATGTAATTTACATAACCACACAATACTAATAAAAAGAAAAAAGCCCCAAAGCCTGAATAACGAAGGAAGGATTTTACTAAGTACATCATCACATAGGGAACATTACCTAAAAGTAAGCAGCAGTATTTCTGTGAAATAATGTAACAATACACACAATAAACAAATCAGTTTTAGAACTCACCTCTGATTAAGTCAACATCAATCAAGTCTGGCTTGATGTGACCCATCTTTTTTGGTTTGTTTTTGAAGCCCTAAGATAAAACAAAATAAAAATAAACACATAAAAAAGAGTTCTTTTAAATGCAAAAAAATAAACATTTCTTTTCTTTATGTCTGACTTACTTTTGTTAGGGACATTTTAATCCTAGTGCTCCTTAATGAATTTGTCATTAATTTGTTTCAGATTTTGGTCTTATCAAATAATACATGCACATACTTTATCATTTTTTAAAATAATCAAATAATGCCAAAGGATCAATAAATGAAAAACAATAGTCTTCTGAGCCATGCCCCCTCTCTTCATTTTGCTCTTCAAAACAAATTTCATCTTGCTTTTAGCTGTTTCTTTGTATTTTACTTCTACATTTCTAAATAATATGCTTATCTGTTATTTCTTAATTTACTGATTCATCACTATCAATTCTTCTGATTTCTTCACATAGTAAATGAGAAAATTTAGCTTTTAGACCACTAATATCCATATCCCAAGTTCTATAACTCAAATCCTCACAATATACATACACACTTGTATGTGTGTGTATTCTTAAAAACGCAATACTGGAGATTAAACCCAGTGCCTTCACACTGAGGTACGGTCCCAATTCCCTTTTCTACACAGTTATTGACATAGGGTTTCGCTAAGTCATTAAATTGCCCATGTTGTGCTTGAACTTAATAATACTAATTTTTCAGCCTCACAGAGTACTGGAATTGCAGATGCCCACTACCACTAAATAATGTGTATAAAATTTTTACATAATATTGAAAAGAGCCCCCAATCTTCAACAGCACTGGCCATTCAAGAGATACAAATTAAAACAACATTGAGATTTCACCTCACCCCCAGAAAGAATGGCTAGTATTAAGAAATCAACCAATAACAAATGCTGGAGGAGCTGTGGGGAAAAAGGAACACTTCTCCAATGTTGATAGGAATGCAGACTGGTGCAATCAGTGTGGAGATTCCTCCAGAAACTAGGATTGGAGGTCCCATTCAATGCAGCTATTTCCCTTCCCAAAAGAAATAAAAACATCATATCACAGCAATATATATGTGCACCATGTTTAAAGCAGCCTAGTTTATAATAACCAGATCTTAGAAAGAATCTAAATGCCCATCAATGGAGAATAGTTTTAAAAAGATGTGATATTTCCACATAATAGAATACTATTCAGCCATAAAGAATAATAAACTGGATATTTTTATAGGTAAGTGGATACATCTTGAAAACATACTTATTAGTGAAATAAATGTCTCACATGCATAATCATCACATTGTTTCATTAGTACAGTAAGAAAAAAACATGTATTTTGTCCCAGAGAGGATGACTTCAACCAAGCAGTAACTTAGATAACATCTGCCTTCACTTTAACTAACCCACTGTGAGCCCTTTTGAGCTGACTTTTGGATGTTTTAAGAAATTTTTGACATACTATAAGGTTTGGGTTTTTTGCATGTGAATATCCAGTTGTTCCAGTACACTTATTTAGTGTACAATTCTTTCTGCATCTTAGCCAGAATCAAATGTCTGTTATGTGGGTATCTATTTCAGGACTTTATATTGGTACTTTGATGGTTGGTGTATCTTCAATGCCATTTTGTAATGATTGGTGTAACTTTGTGGTAAGTCTTGGGGCTGCGGTGGGTGGAGTTCTAATCTTGTTCCTTTATCAAAGTTGTTTAGACTATTCTGAGTCTTTTTTATTTTTACAGAAATGTAAGACTCAAAATGTTACAATCTATATGAAAAATGATGTTGACAGTTTGATAAGGGGTTGTGTTTTCTAATCTTTACTATTTTTTCTTCTATTCCTTTTTTATTTCATTCTGTCTTTTACTTTTAATTAAAAAATTTTACAAAGAGCCCACATTAGCTAGACCTGACATACATCCCCCAGTCTGTAATGCCAGAACTCTAGGAGGCTGAGACAGGAGAATTCTAAGTCTGAGCCCAATCTGCACAATTTAGTGAACTTAGCAAGACTCAGTATAAAAGACCTACATACCACCAAAAAAAGAGAGACAGAGACAGAGACAGAGATAGAAAAAGAAACAGTGCCTCAACTTGGAAATATCCATCAATAATAACTTGAAATCCTCCTTACCAGCAGAACAGGTAATACCGTATTGAATAAACTATATCACACGCAACACACAAATCTCACAATCAGGTGGAACAAAACATATTAGATGAAAAAAGCACGTATGCTGTATGATTTCATTTACATAATCCTCACATCAGGCAAAGTTACTGTGCGCTCATAGTGAGGACACGCTTTACCTCTGCTGGTGGTGTGATGGAAGAGAGCACAGGGCACTGCATGTTTGCTATCTTAGTTTGAGTGCCTGTGACACCATTATATTCAGTCTATGAAAATACCCCAAACTCTACACTTATAATTCTGTAGTGCATAAGTACATCCACATTTAATGTATTTTACTTAAATAACAGGGTTTTTTTTTAACTTATTAGAACCTCTGCTTATTGATTTGGAAGCCTTGAAGCCATGCAGAAATCTTGCCATTTCACTAATGGAATCACCAAACATTAATACCCAGACGCGGTTTTCTGGGGTCATACAAGTTCCTCAAAAGAAAATATTCCTTTAATGTAATTTCCTTTTTTTTTTTTGTACCAGGGATCGAACTTGTGGCCTCCTGCTTGCCAGGCAGGTGCTTATGCTGCTGAGCTAAATTCCCAGCCCCTTCACTGTAAGGTCAGTGGTAATTCAGAAGTGAAAGATCACAAAAGTATGTGGCCAACCTATAACATTTAACTAGAAATTTAGTCTTCAACATTTTTTCAGAAAATGAGGAGAAAATGTCTTTCAAGGTCTCAAGTCTTCTACCATTTCAAGTTAAAGTAACTATAATCATTTCTCTTAAAAGTTAAAATGCACAGACCTCCACAAAATACATGGCACATCCCCAGGTTTGTAAAGGCCCTTAGGTTGATCATTACTGCTTCAAAGAAGTCCCACTTAATAGTTTCATTATCATGTAGATAACAGTTTTCACAGAAAAAATTCAGGAATTAACAGTGATGATAACCCTGCTATAGTTATAAATTGAGTGTAAATTTGTAAAATTATTATTCATTTCTGTTTCAAACTCCTGGTTTGCTTAACAGTTAAATTACTATTAATAAATTAAACTTTTGAAAGATGAATCAGAACATACATATACTAATTCTTAATCTAGTTTTTTAAGTTAGCTATTTAAGCATTAACATTACAAACATTAAAGGATACTGTAATTTGCTATTTCCCTACTTTAGACACTGAGTCAGTATTTATCGTTAGCTGTAAATAGGTATGGTCAATCAATTTATCTTAAGTGAATTCTATGCTTAATTCAACTCAACTATAGCTACAGATTTTAGAGAAAAATGTCCTAAATCTCTAAATCATAATAAAATTAAATGTAAGGTATCAAATTTTGAAAATAATTTAAGTTACCCCTTGAAGAAACAATAATTCTTCAAATATTCATAATTCTAATGGGAATAGTGAACTTATATTCAAAATGAGAAATTAAAATTTAAAAAGTGCCAGGCATAATGTTGCACACCTATGGTCCCAGCACTCAAGAAGCTGAGGCAGGCGAATCACCATGAGCTGTAGGCTAGCCTGGGCTACATAGTGAATTCAAGGCCAGCCTGGATTATACAGCAAGACCTTAACTCAAAATAACAACATTAAATAGATATTAAATATATATGTTGTACTGTAATCAACATACCCTTATAGACATTTGCACCTACAGTATTCCAGTTAAAGGAGCTTCAAGTGCTTTGACTTTAAAGCCAAAAAGATTTTTCTACTGTTTGCTTTCTAGATATTTTACCTATGTCACCAAATTAAAATTCACATTAACTAGTTTATTCCAAATTCTACAAGCCTCCTCTAATGAAGAAAACAATTCTCTCAATAAATATTCAACATGCATATTCCATGTGCCAGATTTTCTGCATGAGCTTGCCACAGAGTAATAATGAAATCAAAACATAGCTGTCTTCAGATTCTGTACAGTACTGAAGGAAAGGCAAATGTAAGAGAAACTGGCTTCTCAGGAACAAGCCCGCCCCCTCCAGCTCCTCTACTGGTTTTTGTTTCTTGGGTTGTTTGTTTGCTTTGTTTTAGTTTGGTTTTTTTCTTATGGAAACAGAAGTCACAAATTTATTTATGACGATAGTTGTAAGAGGGAAGAGGAAAATCACAGTATATTTTTGTGTATTTTACACTGAAAGAGAATAAAAATACATGCCACATGCTTGTTTTAGGATGCCTTGGCTTTGTCCCACACATTGCATAGTCTGTACAAGCAGAAATAGTGCAGGCACTAAAGCACTTTACCTAAAATGTATCAACTTATTTGACACCTTGAGTCCTAATTGTTCTGTGAGATTGGTATCTTTTTTGTTTTGGGGTTTTTGTTTGTTTGGTACCAGGGATCAAACTCATGACCTGGTGCTTGCCAGGCAGGCACTTATGACACTGAGCTAAATCCCCGATCCCAAGATTGGTATCTTTATCATCCTCACTTCACAGAGAGAAAACCAAGGCTCAGAGATTTCAGCCCAATCATTTTGACTCCAAAGTGTGTGCTCTTACGGACTAGATTATCTTGCCCCTCACACGGTACAAAACATAACCCTAGTAATTATGTAAATTTTCTTCTAGATTAAACGAGACTGCAGGACTTTGAAAGGTCTGTTGGGATTAAATCCTGGGAACTGTGCCTAGATTTTCTGCTTGCCTCCACCTTCACTTTGGCATCCCAGGGAGAGAAAATGAGGCAGAAGCAGGTCTCTCCTGCACTAGTGGCCATGGAGGAATTCTGCAGAGCCCCAGCTGTAGGCTGTGCTCAGCCCTCCCTACTGTTAGCTCCCCAGTAACTCCAAAACTACCACAAGCTCAGAAGCACCTGACAAATGAAGTACCTACTTTTAGATACAGGGACAAAAACACTACAGGTTTTGCTGCAACAGAGTAACCAAAAGGCGGGAGGCATTGCTGCAATATTGTTGG